ATATACATGTATATTTGTTGAGGTTATCTGCTCAGGAAATGGCAAAATCGGCCTGTTCCACTGTGGACAGACACTGTGATGTACTGTACACGTACATTATTCCTTAATAAACTCTCCTTTAATTCGTATTTAAGAAAACTTAAAGAAATACGTGTAAAAAACCATACATTTAAAAAAACCATACAAAAATATTGGTAAGCTGGACATTTTAACAATGAACAACCAAATCTTATTAAACTCTGTAAACTGCAGTACATGTCTATCTCTACAATCATACAAATATCAGTAAAATTGTTGAAGCTTATTTCTTGATTTTGGTTACGTGCAAATGTGTCTTTTAGTGTGGACAGACCCATTTACATGCACAGTTTACAACCTTAAAAATGTGCTACATGTAAATGCTCTGTCCATACATGTATGTGACATTTGAACATGCGCTGCCCTATGCAGACTCGCTCGCAAGCTTCACTCCCGAACGACCTTGCTTTTATTGAAATACCAAACTGGCTCATTATTAAGAAACTGAAAAGATCAAATTCACTAGCACTGTAACTAGAGATCACTTGAAAAATGAATGTGTACATGTACATGTACCGGGTATCACAACACTGTTTGAAGTGCCTCATTTTGGAAATTAATTACAATTTACAATACACTGGTACCTGTACATGTACAGTTGCATTAACAATGATGTTCCATACATGTACTTAAAGTTATAAACCATGTACATTTTACATGTAACAGTAATTGTAGCACAATCACCGGTACATGTACTTGGAAAATTGAAAGGTTTGCAAAATTTCCAGATTCTTCATTACACATTTACATTATATGTTGACAGAGAAATACACATGCAGAAGAACAAAACATTGTCAACATTCCAAAAAATTCTTCCACAATATCTTATGAAACTCCACACCCTGAGGGTTGTTAAGAATTTTGTTTTTGCACACTGTGTAATCAAGAATGCTCGTTTACACCTGTACATGTACATGTGCCGGGTACATGTACATCCTATGGACCCTATCCAGCTATCAGCCCACGTAAATACTGTAGGCCATAAATTTATAGAGCTAATAGGCTGTGTTTCGATGCCCACAAGGTGTGCCAATTTTAATATTCATTGTAGAGTTTCAGTTTGCGCCTTGCATGAATGATGCATAGGCGCTGACCAAGAAATCATAGAGTTCTGTCCATTTGTCTGCTACCATGGCCTGTACAAGTAATCCCATATGTACATGTACATGGCAAATAAATTATATGTACATGTACATGCACTGGTATGTTTGCGTCAGGTCTAATCACTTTAAATTCACCAAATGTAGATGGACTCATCTGAACAAAGCTGCTTGGACAAAAAATCCTGCTCAGCAAGGTTTTTTGTTCCCTTCCCAATCACAAGTTTTCCCCTGCCTATTAACACTGATTAAACTGTGGGATGCCCCAACTAACTGATTTTAGTGAATCAGGCTTTTGGTTGAATTTTACCTCCTCACACTTAAAACAGGTGAAGATGGAAGTACATGTAGAAGCAAAATAACTTAAATATTTTGAAATGATAATAATAATATAAATTTAAAAAGCACACTTATCCGGAAAACTGGGCCCATGAACAGATGAAACATTCCAAATACCATCTCAGCTCCCTGGGGAGTATACAGCTGGATGCTGCCATTTCAGTGCAATGTGTACGGTAGCTAAATCAACCACAGTAACCATGGTAACCCTTTCTGCCCTCACAAATACCCAATTACTCCTCGGTGGAGAAAGACAATGAGTGATGAAGCACCTTGCCCACAGCACATGCACCATGACCCCAGGCTGGATTCGAACCAGCGGCTTTATACCCAATGACTACGAATCCAGTGCTATTAACCACAAGGCCACGGCACTCCACTTGAATGATAAAGAGGGACACAGAATACAAGAGCGACTTATTTTCTAGGGGAAATTTAGAGTACTGGTATTATGCTATAGTTGAAAACACTGTTGTTTTCAGCACTAGAATTTTCGAGACATTTGTTCGACCACCTCAAACTTATCAGTTCCCCAGGGGACACCCTGCCCAATCAGGTCTTCTGTGTCACAAACACACGGACACGTACACATTATCCTTACATCACGCAGCACATACATGTTCAAGTGTGGGTAATATTTCTCTGGCCTATGAGCTAGAACCATGTAATGCAAGCAAATCTTTGCTTGCTGAAGTCTAGACCTTGTGAATGTACCAGCAAGTCAAGTCCAAACGGCATACATGTACATGTACATTGTATGTACCGTTACATGTAATACATGTACATGTAGGAGGCTGAAACAACAGTGTGGTAAATCAGCCGTTGGTTTTAAGGACAGATAACCTGGGGAAAGCACAGAACTGATGAAATTGGATCTTGTGTGTGAAGACCCGTCACAGTTCTCATCACTGCATTACAGTGAGTTTGATATGAGTGGGTGAGGAATGGATTGGTGTACGGGGGAGAGTGGGCTGTATAAGGGGAAGATAATTCAAGTGACAAAGCCATATCGTAATCTTCTGACGGGTGGTTTGCATGAGACTGATAAAAAATGCATGCAGGAGAAATGGATTCAAACAGTAATATGATGGCAATCTGCACCTACATATATACATGCATAACCACTTGCTCCCTGTCCACAAACATCATTGATCTGCTGTGAGGTCTCTCCCCAGCTCACCTGCACCCAAGCCTATTCACAAAACTGTGCGCCTACAGCTACATGTACAGTATCGTACATGTACATACACACAAGCCCTTGCAAACTGATACGGCATAGTTGGAGGCGATTTTCCCACGTGAACACTTTTTACCCCGAAATTGGTTTCATAAACTGCCCCTTCGCTAATTGAGTGCGCGCTGAAGAGGTCTCTAACCAGCTCACAACCCCAGGCAACTGCTGTAGCACCATCGTATTCGGAAGCACGATTTCCTTCCTTTTCTTTTTTCCTTTTTACGGCAGTTGATGCAGGATGGAGGCTTGATGGAAAAAGGGAATGCCTGCAATAAGACCGTGTTCGTGAATGGGAAGAAGACTGAATAAATCAGGAGTGGTGGTTATTGTGTACCTCAATGTCCCCACACGACATTTCTGCAATAATTTTCTTTTTTAACTACCACACTTACCTGTATTTCATTTAGCTTCAGAAAATGCCTTAGTGTGTTTCAACACTTTTTCTTTCTATAAGGGTACCGGTAGAAATAAAGACAAGCAATGACTGGAGAGTTGGGAAAAAAAATAAAAACAATTGAGGAAGTTCCAAGCTGGCAATTCCTCCCTACTTTGCTCTGGAGGTTTTAAGCACTCTGAAAAAAAAGGAGACCCACAAAAAGGATGTATGGAATTATAACTGTTTACTTCATTTTCGTAAAGTTTGCGGGCATGAGAAAATAAGAACACCACAAAAGATAAAAGCCAAAATCAGTGACCAACACTGAGCAAACTGCTGGTAAGGTTCAATAGAATTTTGATGTCTTTCGCAAAAGGTACCCCCCACACTTGTTTGCTTCATTTTCCTGTTTTCAATTCATAGACACTTGAGCGGAAAGCCTGTTAGGCCCCAATGTTTTCCAGTAAAGTACCAATTGGTCTCACCCAGTCAGGGGAGAAATTCCCTCCTGTATCACAAACACTGATTTTCTAAACTGTTCTCCCTGTCAACATCATGAGCCTTACATGCCTAATTTCATCGAGCATCCTTCTTGGATTTTCTAAAATGTTCTCCCTGTCAACATCATGAGCCTTACATGCCTAATTTCATCAAGCATCCTTCTTGGAATTTTTGGCCCCCGGCAAACGACATGTATGCAGCTGCAAAGTTTATGTCTCGCGGATTTACATGTAAGAGCCAAGCAAAAGAAAAACAAACAAAAAAGCGGTGGAGAGCTTGTCACAAAAGGTAAAAAGTGCAAATACATGCACACATATGGCACAAAACCAGTATGGCAGAGTACCAGTGTTTTCCTCAAAATTTGACGCTTTTGCCATGTCTTGAGCACTCACACTCCAATTCTTCATGAGTCAGTGCAGAGGCTATGGCTGGACTGAGACCAAAGACTGATTTCTGTTTAAAAATAAACAGGCTGGTAGCCTATCCTATTTTCTCATACTTTCCAACTTGCTGAGTTCAGTATCAGCCCTTTGGTATTCGCAGAAGAGACAGAACCCCACAGGAGTGTTATTTACCTTGTAGCCCATCACTGGCCGAAGAGCTGTGGGTTGGGGAGACCAGTGGTCTTGTCTCCTCCGGCACCTTGCGGCGTGACTTGCCCCCTGACCCCTGCCGCTCCTCGTTGGGCTGCACTACCATTGGCTGGTTGTACTTTTTCTTTTTCTCCCGCAGGAGGGCACGCTATGCCGGAAAAACAAGAATTGGGAAGGGAAGGTAATATGGGAAGAAGAAATTCATGAATGCATGGCCTATGCAGTGAAATTTAATTTAAAAAAACATAGTTTTTTATACACGTACTTGTGTGACGAAGAAGCCGGGGCTTGGTTTAATTCAGCAGGAGTTGCTTTCGTTGACAAGTTTCAATTGTATTTTAAATAAATTTACTACATCAAAATGCTGTAGCCTACATGTATTTGTTAATTTCCACCCTAGTTCAAGCACAATGCCTTAGAATTCCTTCTCAAGCCTTTCGCTGGAATGAAATTTGATACCCTTTTCAGCCTACTGGTCAACCTTTCTGTATAATACCTCAACAGATGTACAGTGTACCAAAGCAAAGAGCATTAAGCAAGTTGGCTATTATGAGGGGTATTCCTGCTGGGAAAAATACAATCGTGTCTCAGACACACGAGCAGGTCAAGTAAATACGAGAGAAAAGAGCAAATCAATTGCCGTATCATCCATTTCCAAAAAGACCTTGGCACATTTCACACATGGTCCAGGAGAACTACGTGTATTACAGCTGAGGGAGGGGGGGATAGATCAGGGAGGAGAAACCCCTACATGCAGTACCTGTTTTTCCAGTTTCTGCTCTCGGAGACTGAAGGGTGACGTGGCCTGCTCATCGTCCATGATGCTGCCTGGAGGTGCCGAGTTGTTATTCCATCCACCTCCTTGGGAGGACGATAATGAGGAACTGTGGGAAATGAGCCAAAGACGCATTACTGCCATACATGTACTCAACGATATACCAGCACATGTACTGATAATGCAGCATACCGTATGTTCACCTGCATTAGCTTAAACAATCACAAATTTACATGTCCACGATGGCAGCCTGAGTGGGAGCTGAAGTGACAAATAAAAGTAAACTATGACAAAAAATGTCCCTCTCTCAATTTGTCTTTCCTTTTCTTTGAGGTTCTTCTTGTTCATACATGTGCCGGTACATGAACAACTTCCGCTTTGTAAACCCAGTACGAAATACATGTACATGTATGTGTACCACTGCATAACATGTCATTCCTCAGTATTTTTTCTACATGTACATTGTGTAAATTCTAGTTGCTACATGTATATCATTAAAAATTTGTACTTTGTGGAAAAACCATAAAAATTGTAAAGAACTAATAATAAAGAATAAAACATACATGTACATTTACATGTAAATGTACCCATACAGATAATAATTTTGTATACAGGTAATGTACATGTACGTCTACATGCACATAATATGTGCATATACCAATGTATGCACTGGTACATGTTGGCCCACGTACAGTAGATTCTCTCTTGTGATATTAGAAAAATACAAATACCGGTACGTACATGTACATGTATGGCGACATTCTGGGCAACAAAACTGTTACTACAATGTACATGTGCCAGTGCTATATTCCGGTACATGTACATGTACAATAACATTTGATTTGCTGAATACTGTCTTTCATCATTTGGTACATGTACATTGACATGTGGTACCTGGTAGTTTGGACAAAGTACATGTACATGTTCATGTACCATACATGTACCGGTACTGTCCATCATGTCCATGTAAATGTGCACACCCAAGGCACACATGTACCGGTACATGTACCAATGCCTTTCACTGTCGACCTTGTGAAGCTGACGATTAACAACCCCTCCCTCCCCCCCATAAAATAAAATCCTCATAATTTACATGTACATGTATATGATGAAGGGCCCAGAAATGACGTCAGTAAGATGTGTGTTACCAGGACAACTATGGCCACTGAGAGAAAGGCAATTACTTTCTGCCAGTCTCTGCCAGGACTTGCCAGGCCTGCGAGAGGATTCACGCCATGGTCTGTTTGTTGCTGATTATTTAGACTGCTCATTCAGCCAAATTCTTGAGCAAGTTGAAAAAGAAAATGGCTGGCAATGTGGTCACCTTTCTGGAATTACAGACTTAACTACAGACTTGATCCGATCTCCTGCTCCAAATTCAGATTTTTAAAATAGCTTCCATTCAGCCACTCTCCCCAAAACACCACCATATCCATCCCTTACACTCAACTCCAGATGCTCCAGTCCTGAATATTATTGTGCCAACAACCACGTACATATACATACATGTACATGCACCATACATGTATGTACAGTGTAGAAGTGAATGGTTTTTTATACCTGTACATGTACATGTACCGGTACTTCAAATGAAAGTTAAATGGTTTTTATACATGTACTTCAAATAAAAGTTAAATTTTAATGACACTGCTATTTTCAAATTGAAAATCTGTGCTGATGTCATCAAAGCCAGAAAGGAATGACCTGAACTCCAGGTCATCTTAAACAAAAAATGGGAAAGTACCGGTACATGCATGCAGAAGGTCTGCAAACCTTTTAAGGTTATCTGATGAATCAATCCTTGTGCGTATCGATTATTTGGTTACACCTGTATGCTTCTGTTTGATTAATCCAAAGACAAGTTTGTGAAATTACATGTACATGTACCGGTACATGTATCCTTTGAGAAAGTAGAGTATATGTACTTTGCTCCAAAACTTCTCAAACCAAATATTTCAAACACTTTCAGGTGAATAAATGTGGGAAAAAACAAAGAATGCCTGAAAAGGGATTCCATGGATTGTAAGCAAAAAATTGTCAATATGGACTATAGTACTTGATTACATTGTACATGTATGTACAAGTACATATGGACATGTACATGTTCCAGGGTACCTGCACGTGTACAGTACATGTGCACGTACATGTATGCTAATGTGTATTTTGCAGCTTAATTTGTTTAATTGAAGTTGCTTTGTTCTTAATATCTTAAAGGGAACGTTGTTTAGATACCGGTACTGTAGATGACATTACATGTTTATTTACATGCAGAGCTTTACATGTACGCACAGGTTCACTTATGATGGTGGCCAACAGTGCATGGTTTAATGTATTTTCCTCTTTTCTTTTTAAAAAATTCTACCAGTACAAGCACAAAACTGTCAGGGACATTAAATATGAAATGCCTGTGACGTCAGACACAACTTGAACCCTGCTTTAATTTTTAACCAGTAGTTTGTTGCCTATTGGCAAGCCACTTCACTGTACAATAACAGTACCCCATGTACAGTACATGTACAATGCACACTTGCTTGACTAAACATGTCAACACAATGACAACACTGTGAGGACTGGGGATAATGCTTTTATTGCATGGAAAAGGTATACAACATGAAATTGTGCGATTTACGTGGATAAATTAAACTTAAAAAGTAATGAGAAGAACGGTTGGTATCTTTTGTCAACAGTTTTCCTCTTTGAACTTCAAAGTTCAAGGAAGGCAGTACCAGTACAATGTACATGTAAACTGTAAGATACTGTACTACAAGTACATGTACATGTAAAAGTTCATGTACATGTATGTATACATGTACAGTAGTGGTACATGTACAGTGTACATGTGTGTACTGTACTATAGGTTATTTGATGCTCTCATGTACATGTTCATGTACACACATGTACATACAGGTACATGTACACGTTCACTGAACCAGTCCATACAGGTACATGAAGCATCCTTGACGTTTGTAGAAAATACATGTACATGTAGATAATTAAAAATCCTAAGCCACATGTAACCTTTTATTGCAGCTTGTTGCTAAGCAACCTCTATGGTTGCCTTAGTGATTGTGTTTCCCACTATGAAGCCATATAAACACAGCTCAGCAGACAGAGGCAATGCTCACAGTGCCTGCTGTACACACAGGCAATGACACTACAGTGTATCAGCTTACAATTTCTGTCGGCATGGTTGGTAAATTAGTTTTGCAATGTGGCAAGATGCACTGATGACAGACGTTAAATGCAAGTACATGTACAGTGAATGTGTGCATACCACAGGTATTAAATGTACATGTATGATGTACATGTAACTTTGATAAACACTTATTGTGTGGTTGATGGCATTTTAGGCAACAACTTGGACTCAGACAAGAGAAATACCAGCACATGTACATACATGTACATGTATGTGCTGCATGAAATCGCTGTTTCAGAACATGTACATGTGTACATGTACGTTCAGTGTACACGTACAGGTGTATATGTACATGTATGTACCGGTATCTCTGCTTACTGTAAGTTAAAGTCTCTCTGTAGTCATGCCACATGGGTTCTGAATGATCAATCATTTTAGAAGCTTTGAAAATGTAAATTTGTGTCCTTCTAGTCTTCAGCTTCCATTTGCTTGAAGCTCAGCCTAGACATGCTAGAGGTGCAAAATGCTGGAGGAATGCTACATGTACCTTCACTGACATTTTTACATACATGTACCGGTACATGTAACAGAAGCCCAAAAGACACATGTACTGTACATTTACTGGTACTCCATTGCAGCAATGTGTATCGTAACATTTGCATCCCATTTAAAACATTATATGACATTTCAAATCCCAATTGCCAGACATGCTTCTGTTCATTTACCAGTACACGTACCGGTAGACTTGCATACAGTACATATACATGTACATTAAAGATCATCATGACATGTTCATTGGAATGACATTTTTTCCCACCTTGCAAGGCAATTAGGCATTCCTGTGTCTGAGGTGTCTCACAGCAATCAAATGTGTCAAACTGCTGCTTGCATGTACATGTACAATGTATAGTCTATACATGTATGTACCGTCCATACAGTGCATACCGTACACACAAAGGAAATTGCTAAAGAGACTGCCATGGCAATTTCAGACTCGGTATATCACAGTACATGTACCAGTACAGTGTACGATTAAAGCAGCCAACTTCTCCTAAAAACAAACAAGTTTGGTTTGTGAACAATTCTGTTTTCATGCTCTAATTCAAACACCAGAAAAATATCTGTCCATGTGACATACATGTACATGTACATTGTATATGTACATGTACTGTACCGGTTCATTGTATCTGTCCATGAGACAAACGTGATGTCTGTCCAGTGACAAACGTTACTTTTTTTCTTGATATTAATTCCATTTTTATCTACCGGTACACTGGAATTGTTTTTAATGAGATAACGAAAGTTTCTGAAAGTAAACTACATGTAAAAAGAATATTTAATAAAATGCAGGTACTTTTCAATTGTATTTTGAATTTAATTTTCATATGTCTGTCCATGTGACACACATAACATCTTCAAGAATAAACTTCTGTAATTTCTTAAAAAAACTCTGTGTACCACTATGAAAATGTTGAAAATTTTGGAAGGCTCCTAACGTGTTCTAGCAGAATCCAGTTTTTATTTATGTTACAGTACATGTATGGATGGAATGCCACGTTGGGTAAACTTAGATATACATGTTCATTGTATACATATATGCATTCTGTTGCGTGTGAGCTGCCAAACATTGGGAAGGTTGAGAAACTCTACAGAAATTTGCCGACTATATTGTACATTTGGGCAGGGCTAGCCCAACGACAGCAAGCCCCAACTACATGTACATGTATGTACATTGTGTCTAGTCAAGATTGATGCCATACATTAGTTGTAACAGTGACAAGTACAGAGTGAAGTTAAGAAGCACTGTGCTGCTTATTAACTACCTCTTGCATATTGTACATGTCCATGTACCACATGTACATGTACTGCACCCTGTTGTTGGATAGAGTGCACAGACCACAAACACAAAAGGGGTACTGACTGTTCAGTTTGTACATGCATGTACATGTACCGGTATGGCATGTACAGTGTATGGTGTCGTTGCTGTATCATACATGTACATTATATGTAAAAATCATTTTGAGATATCACTATTGCCGCTGTATTGAAAAAAACCAGATAATCTAAGAATTACTGACACTCTGTACATTCTCAAAAAGAACCAAACCACAACTCCATGCACAGTGACGTCATCTGGTTTCCAGACACCAATGAAAACAAATACATGTGTGTATAAACCTAACCATGGCAACAAGCTGGGTGGCACTGGCAATAAATAAACCTTCTGGACTTTCACACTGTGAGTCAGCTGTACAGGTACATGTACTGTATGTACATGTAGTTGAGTTCAGCATACTGTACATGTATTGTATACAATGTACACGTACATGTACTTGTACATGTACAAGTGCAATGCATACATGTACCCGTACATGTACAATGCAAGAGTGTACCCGTACAAACCGGTACCGATACTAGTACATGTACATGTACTAGTGTAGTACTGGAAGCAGAATCCACCGACAAAAGTTACTGATACATGTACATGTATGGTGGTACATCTTTAGAAATTACAAGTAGGGTACACATCAGCATGCAAGTATGAAGTTTCGCGAAAGCAAGTACAGGTTTTCGTACATGATTTCATGTACTGTGCACGTACCGTTACATGGGTACGGTTAGGCCTATACACGTACATATGTATACATGTACATTGTACATGTGTAGTACTCAGTACATGTAAATTTATGCAAATGTATAAAGCATTTTGACAATGTACCCAGTACATGTACTAAAAATGCATCACGTTCCACTGAAAAGGATGTGACAGATGGTTTTCCTCAAAAAGCTTGGGCCAAACTCAGGGGTGAGATTGGAAGAGTGCTTGCATCTACCGGGTTGAACTCAACTTCTCCTCTTTCTCAAACAATTCTTTGTCACAAAAGCAGCCATGGTTGATCCATATTTCTTTACAATTTAAAGCCCCAGTGTCTGGGTCACTGGGCGGATGGTGATGTGCCACACTGTTACTACAATTCGTAATCATCCATGTACCAGTACATGTAGCTTCACAGAGCGGTGTATGAATGTTCATGGCACCCTACAGATGATCCCCTCCCCCACAAAGCTTCAACTTCAATAAAGGTACGTGTAATTTTAGACAAAACCCATTTTGGCATTTAGTCTAGCCCTAAATTTTTGTTTCAATCATTCTTTAAAACTTCTTACACGTACAAGGACTTCGAAGTTACCGGTACAATGTATCAACCGTGTAAACAGTCTCTGTTGTCTACCTCATGGTGGTGGATTTTTTATCATCCTTGTAAGAAGTGAAAAAAACCTGTAGTCCACATTGTTACAAAACTTTAGACAGGTTACGGGTCTACTTTTTTGCACCAGTTGGATGCACTGGAAACAAGAACCAGACCAGTCTACGACAAAAGGGTCTTGGACTTTACACCATACAGTGCACATGTACAGTACCAGTTTTTCTGTTTAAAAAAACCCTCTCTTGGTATTCATGAATTTATCAGAAAAAGAAAGATAATGCACACACACAGAAAGTACACATGTGATCTGAAAATTAAGAAAAATGAAATGAAAAAAAAAATGTGTACCAAGTACATCTACATGTAGGCTCAATCGCAGCATGCTGAGATTTTACAGAGCAGCATGCAGACATGTACATGTCGACTGAGCTATTGCAATGCATCTAAGTCAACGGGAAATTGAAATCTACGGTTGCAAGTACATGTACATGTAATATACACATACGTAGATTGGTAATGATAATTATGCAACGCTGTAACTATAGAATTTGGAAGATGTGGTACCGGTACAGTTAATGTAATTACAAGAACATGTACATGTACATGTAGATGTATGGCCACTTTGGAAAACCATTGGGTGAATCAAATACTGGTACAAAGGGGTAGCTTAAGCTATGGACTGCCCAAATACATGTACATGTGCATACATGTACCGGTACTGTACAATGTACATGTACATGTATGTTCCTGTCTAGGAGGCTGGCTCTCAAACAGTAGAACGGGTGGAATGACAAGCATAGGAGCAGACTTTGCACTGGAAATATTGGACAACTCTACTTCTTACATACATGTACAGTGTATGTACCAGTGTATGTACTTGACTGGGGACAACTCAAGCGTTGAGTACATGTAAGTTGTCCGACACAACCGTGTAAGGCGTGAACATGGTGGAGAGCGCAGACTGCAGATAAGATGTCTTTGGGCAGATTTGCATGAAATGTATTGGTACATTTACATGCGACTAGACTTGCTAGGCATGACATGCCCAGGGACCCACCTGGTGATGCACACATGGACTAATGGGCAGCGTGCCAGCCGCTCCATTCAACCAGTGTGGTGTGAGCCCGCGATGCTGGTGGGGCATGCGCAGTGGTGCGGCGCACCGTCCGTGGTACACAGGCGCTGTAGGGGGGTATTTGCATCTGATTTCACTTTCAAGTTTTCAATCACACCACTCCAAAATTGTTTGCACAACAGGATACATGTAGATATGTACACTGTACATGTACATATAACAGTTCCATGTACTGTACATGTACACGATACATAATACTTCAACGGAGGTTAATCGGTCTTGAAACCCATAAAATCTGGCCATTTATTGGTCACAAAGCCTATTCTAGCATGGCCGACAGTATTTACAGGCCATTGTTTTGGTGATGGTAGGCTGGGAACAGGTCAACTCGTATGTATCTTGGACAACTCGTACCATGGACTCATACCATCAACTCAACATGAATGTACCATATACTACCAACCCATACATGTACAGTACCTTTGCCGAGTCGCATCTTTGACAACTTGTACCTCCAGTAAAGACAACTTGTACCTTCGCATATGAGACAACTCGTACCTTCACAGAGTTTGCTCAGAGCTTCTTCTTGTAATTAACTTGAACAATAATTTGATTTCTTAGTCATGTGTTCATCACTTACATTGCCGTTTTGGCTACACTGCCTTCCCTACAAGCCAGTGAGGTGACATTAATGTGAGATACGCCGACGTCGTGCATGTGCGTGCATGGTCAGGCATCTGGCTCTGGTCAATGCGGGCTGCCGTCATTGCGTACAATTCGGAATCTTCTCCTTGCAATCCACCATGACGATGGAGTGATGTCATGTTTTCATTTGTAAATGTCAGGTGTAACTTGTCCAAAAAAAAGAAGAATTTTAATAAGGAAGGCAACCACCACCCCAAAAAAAGTACATGTACACCCCCAAAGTTACTAAACAAAACCACCATTCCCCTACAAAATGAAAAAGTCCAATATTATAACTTTTCCCAGAGCCATAAGAATAAATTGAAGTCCCTCCTCAAAAGAACAACAGAATTTAGAGTTCAGTAAAGTCCCCCCTAAAAAAAGATTAATGCAGGCCTAAGTCAAGTTGGTAAATGGTCGAGTTGTTGGAAATCCGTCACTTAAATAAACTTACGGTGCAAACGCCTGCTGCAGGCACTATGCAGAAAATAATGCTGGCACTCGAGATCTCTCCGGGAGATTTATGAAGATTTTTCCTTGCTACATGTATGTTTGTCAAATCTGATCTTAAACATGCAGAAAACATGGAAAAGGAAGAACAAGAAAGTTACAACCGAATTGCAAACATGAAGGTACGAATGATCTGAACTCGAGAACTGTACAAGTTGTCCAAGGAACGAGTTGTTGAAGGTACAAGATCAAGTTGCCCATGGTACGAGTCGCCCAAGGTACGAGTTGATTCGAAAGTGGTAGGCTTCAGCTGGGAATTACGGAAGTAGGCCTTGGCCTAAAATGTATGCCTTTGCCATGTATACATTGTAAAAGGATGCCAGTTTCATTCTATTCAAAGGAATAAATGTAAATGAAACTTCAGTGACAGAAACATACATGTATATGTACACATGTACATGTATACCCAAACACTCATAACCTGATTAGTGATAACTCCACTATATTACAAGTTCTACGAAGGTGATTTAAGCATTATTAGGCCATGATGATGTACATGTAGGCCATGGGCAATAAACTTCAAGTTTTAAGCTTCTTCTGGGAAGTTCTGGCCTGAACTGCTCTTTATCCTGGGCATGCCCGGCGCAGGCTGTATGGAGTGGTTCTGTCGAACTTACCCAGTGTCACGGTGATACATCCTAACCGTCTGATTCCTAAGTCTTTCAAATCACGGATTCAGTTGTTTTTGAGTGTTTGGCAGAACGTGCATAAAATTCTAAGATGCAGAGGAAAAGACCGACCGTCAACTTCAGCGAAATGATAGATTGGCACGCGACGTACATGTACAACCTTACGCACCGGTACAGCTCACTTTCTTACACGCACGTACGCACGATAATAAAAAATAAGGCAAATCGGCTACCAAGTGTACATAACAACAATTTTTATTGGCAAAGACTGTTCACATGATGAACAGAAAGATCGGCTATTGGTCAAACATTAGTCTGGTTCCCAAACTAACGATTCCCCCCTTGACGTCTGTACAGGAACATGTCACTGATCAAAATAGAGATCAGTGTGGAACATGTACACCGTAGTGCGCTGTTTCTCTATCGACAGCGTACATGTACATGTATGTGTGTACGTGGATTCCCTCAAATCATCCTTTTTGGGGTGGGGGGGAAGTCGCCATGATATTTTGACAGAGAACGCATGATGGCGCTATTACAGTTTAAGGAGCCGAGGGTAGGATAGGATAGGACTGACTAGGTGTGCGCAAAGGTGTATTACTACTAGTAGGCCTATAAAAATAGTAACTGGCTACAGAGCCGCATCGTCGGCCGTCGGCGTCATGTTCATGAGAACCATCCCACCACCTTTGTTGTACATATACATGTAGGCCTAGTACAACGTGACCACAGTACCATTGCCAGATCTTCTTGAAATGGGTAACAATTATACAATAACTTCATCACAAAGGTTTTGATCTTAATCACTTTCTGTTATTCTGACTCTTGTAATAATTAGGCTCAGTCTTGTCTCGAGTCCACCAACATGCATGATGACCAAGGATTAATTATACTATATAATTGTAGGGGAGGCTCATAATTTTTTTTCAACTAGGCTAGGCCTACTTGGCCTAGGCTATTTGTTTCTGTTTTCTTCTTCAAGTAATCTTGGAGAGGATGTCATAAGAAACATTTTGATGTAAGTTTGGATTCCATCCGACTTAGCAAAGCAAAGAAATACTGATACACTGTATAAAGCAGAGATATTTTAAGATATTTTGAGATTGTTATATGGGTAATGCATATCCCTAGAACTGTGGGGTCCAATGTTCGTTCTGCTCCCATGAACCCCACAGAAAAAGAGCCTTTCTTGCAACAGGCTGTACATGACGGTTAACAGGGTAGAACAGGGATTCCATTCTAGTTGTATACCCATAGAAATGCTACATGTACTTCATTTCCCCCAAGAGTTTTTTGTACATGTAAAGTACACTGTAGCTTACATATACACACCTTTGTACCAAGAAAGAAAAGTGTCAAAACCATGCTGTTTTCCAAAAAAGTTGCAAATATTTCCTGATCAGTGCCCGAGAGTCTTGCAGTTCACATGTGTACTTGTGAAGACGAGCTGCGACCATTTATGGTTGACTATGGCTGCAATCGAGACATAAGACACTAAAATGAGCTGCAGCTGCTTTCCGTATGGCTAAGAATTACACACACACGTACGGAAAGCGGCTGCAGCCAATTTCAATGTCTTGTTTATCGATCGCAGCCATTGTCCACCATTTGGTCACTGTTTGTCTTCGCAAGTACACATGTAAACTGCATGACTCTCAGATACTGATACGGAAATATTGCACCTTTTTTTGAAAACAGTATGGTTTTGACCCTTTTCTGTCTTGGTAATCACTACAAAGTAAGCTACATGTACTTTGTACCTTACATAAAACTCTTGGAGGAAATGAAGCAACATTTCTATGGGTACACAACACGAATGGAATCCCTGTTCGTGCTGTGTTCAACGTCATGCATAGCCTATAGCGAAAAAGGCTCTTTTTCTGTGGGGTTTTCTGGAAGTGGAGCGGACGTTGGACCCCACAGTTCTGGGGGTATGCATGTATGTACATGTAATGCAGAGCAAACTGATTTGTTTGGACACAAAAATGATTGTAGATTTTGACTGAAGAGCATAAAATTCTTATTTCCACACAAGATTTGTTCTTATTGGTGCCTGATTTCAAGGAATTAAATGCTGGGTTCACTTAAATTACAAAAATTTTGGAAATGGAAATTAAATAGAGGAGCTAGCTATGTACAGCGTGCAGGAAAATACAAATTTTAATCACAGTTTCCTATTTAAGAAAATGAGTTCTCATATAAACAGCACCCTCGTTCCTTTATGCGTGTCCCTACCAAGGAAGTTATCATGATCGTGGTTTGGAATCTTGCCAACTTGCCTTCTTGCCAACTCGCCCCTGGCAAACTCGCCTCCTGACCAAGTCGCCCCCTCAGAGGAGAGTCCGCTGGTTTGGACCATTACTGTAACTACATTTCTAAGTGTCTTTGCAGGAGGTGGGATATTGAAGAGTTCACCTTCAGTCAGAGGATTATTGAGAATTATTCAATAAACTTGCGTTCAGTTGATGAGTTACTGGTACATTTCAATGTTCTAAGTGATAAAATGGCTTATAGCTTCTTCCTTGAGTTCCATCAACTTTCTTAACTTCTTGTTGAAAGTCCATTTTGTCTGGTTTATATTTTTAATGCATGTGAGTTGAATTTAACTTTCCAAAATCATGTCGTCATTGGTTTTTGGCTTGGCCCTGGTGTACATGTACAGTACATGTCACCATGATATCAGCACAAAAAATCTAAACTCCAGTAAAAAATAATGATGGTCGTAATGTTTGTAATGAAAACAAGACGAACACAGCTTAAAGTTGAGGGGAAAGAACATTTTAAAGATTACATTTAAAGTGAGATTTACACAAAATCAGATTCACAGAACAATTTAATTACCCATCGGTCGAGGTAATCATGTGTGCCAGACAGTGAATTCTGATTTAGCTTAGCGTGCTTTACAATCAACTGAATGCAAGTTTATTATGGAATTATCAATAATCTCATTAAGGTGAATTCTTCAAAATTCCGCCTTCTGCAAGGACACTTACATGTAGGCCTATTATCACTTTGGAAATGTAGTTAATGGTCAAACCAGCGGACTCTCTTCTGAGGGGGCGACTTGGTCAGGAGGCGAGTTTGCCAGGGGCGAATCAGTAAGGGGTGAGTTGGTAAGGCCAGGGGGCGAGTTGACCTACAATCCTTGGTTTATGCCAGGGCAGACATCGCAAAATGGCATGGTTAGGATTAATGCTCTGAAGGCTCCTAAATTCCTAAGAATTTGGATGGAAGTACATGTAAACTATTGGTGAAATCTGGTTTTAGGTGAACATCACGGGCAGTTTCTGTTTTCCATCTGCCTTGGTGGTATATGAGGACTGGAGGGACTTGAGTGTTGAAAGCAGCAGAAGCGCTGCCTGACCTTAGGCTGTGTACATGTACTGGTAGCCCAAAGCTTCCAATGTCTTGAACTACAGATTTTAGGGGCAAGCAGCACTACATGTATCTTGTGAGTATGCATGTAGATCAATGGGTGAATAATGGGACTGAGCTTTGCATTTTTGCGTGTGAGTCTTCTAAGCACTGGAAGCGGACTGTCTGGGGGGCCTTCCACATGTAAAGCTGTAACAGTGTTTAAAGTATCTCTCGGCTCTAGAGACTGTGCATGTGGGCTTGAAAGTCTTGTAGTGTAGCTATGACAACATCTTAATCTTGTCGGAACTGGTCGTTTTTTGAGGAAGGCAGGTGGATAGTCGGCCTATCGAATAAGAACAAGCAACTGTTGTGTGTTATCTTGCTAACGTCGTCAAAATGAAGAAAGCCTGCATAGGAAATGAAACAGATGAATAGAAGTCTTACGTCCGCTAAGTCGGCTGAGGTACATATCCATGTACCCCCGTGAGATGCTCACATGCTCTGTAGGTTGTCTGGTATAATGGGCTTCTTCCTGATGGAGGGTCGGTTGGCGAAGGCAAATTGGCCAATGAATGGACCCATTTCATGGATGCAGTGGTGGCGTCAGCGATGGACTTCTTACCCAAAGTCGCAAGATGAGTGATGTACATGTACATGTACTGTATATTGAAAATGTAAAGGGCTGACCGAAAATGTAGGATGAATGGCCTTAGATGATGCCCATTGTTCGCAGCGTCTCCAAGATGCCATGTACATGTACTTCTTGGTAGTAGGGAGCTTTGGCCCGAATCATCATGGATGGAGGTTGATTGAAGCCATATGCCTCAATGCTGGGTCTTGGAGGGAAGCCGTGACTCTGCACCAAAAAAAACATGGAAAACCACAAAACAGTACTCTTTACAAAAGACGCCAAGTACCTTGCTTCAGAACGAAATGATCAGTGCAACGAAATGCCAGGCAGCCTGATGAAAACCTGGCAAATATACATGTACTATCGATTTCTTCAAGTGTCAAATAGAGAAAAAGGGCAGAAAAGACATGCTACAGCACTTTTTGTCTTGCACTGGAGCATAACGCAAGGATGGTGCAAATAATCGACAATGGCATAAAAAGGTACATGTACATGTATAGCAGAACTGCAGTACATAAACAAGACGTACAAGGAACGGGCTGAATCGCTATCAAACACCTGTTGTGGCCATGAAAAACCCTGTGGGGAAAGGTGGGTGCATCCCAGGCATCCGAGTGGGACGCACTTCCTGGACCAATTCGGTGCAGGGAGGGATAATATGGGATTGGGTGGGGAACATGGTGTAGTGCGAGGTTCAACGGCTTGACCGCAAGTGAGCTATTGCATGTACATGTGTAGCTCACTTCAAGCTCTTTGTATAAGGATAGAAAGCTAACCTGGAATGGTTACATGTACATAACCAAGTACAGTATGTGTATTGTACATGTACTAGACGGTACAATACGCTTGCACCTGTCGTGTCTGGCGTGCAAAACGAAAAGAAATTCCACGTACAGGTACTCTGTCTGGACAGACCCGTGTGTTTCTTTTTGACTGATGCGGCATAACTACATCATGTAAGAGTAAATACAGAACCAAATTTTCAGGGGGGAGGCAAACTTATTAGGAAGGGGGCCAAACAATTTGGAAACTGTTCATGTACAGTACATGTATATGTAACCTTTTATGGTCATGCTTAGGGTTGAGGCTACATGTACAATGTACATGTACATGGGGCTTACACTCTTCTATAAGGGAGGAAAATGAAATACATGTACATCTGTAGACCCCAAAAATCCCCTTCCGTTATTTACAAAAAAATAGCTCTATATGTACAAAAATGTATTGAACAGGTTTCTTTGCACATGGTTTGATAGAACATTGTGCACTCATACTGGTAAGTTGCAAGACTCAGTGCCAGGGATAGGAAATTGTCTATTTCCTCATATTTACATGGACATGTACAGGTATGTACATGTACAGTGAAGAAAGAAAGTGGCCGTCATCCCTATGCCTTTGGCAGCAATTTCCAACCCCTTTTGGTTGGGGGAAATTGAATATTGGACTGGCCACATTTAGTCACCTACAATGTGTTACTCGCCCAAAAAAGAATACAGGGCACTCCTGGGCCAATAAAAAACAAATCATATTTTTGAGCGTGACACATTGTCTTTGAAACTGAAGTGTGCCCGTTAATTTTTCATTCGGGAGACGTGTTGTGAAGAACCTCATACTCGGTTACTGTTACTGCATCGTGGTAAATGGGGGGGGGATAAAACCCTTGGAATTCTTGGACAGGGGATAGGCCATACATATAGGATCATCCCCCCCATTTTTTGTCCCAAGGGAACTAATCAACTTGTTTTCAGCCATCTGCCTACTTCCATCTGATTTCACTGGAAACGTGTATGAGATCTGAAAGCATGCTACACGTATCAGAACACAGCAAAAGCATTTGAAATGGGTCAACACACCATTGTTTTGTTTTTTTAAATTCCAGTATTTTTTTTCCCACTGTCCTTAGCTGCTTCCTCCCCCGGCCACCAAGGTGATAGATTGGCCGGCCACCAAGGCAATAAATTGGCCATTCGGAGCGGCAAAGTGAAGTCAGCCAGACTGGGCCCCAGAGTCAGCAAGTCTCTCCTATGGTGCTTCGGGGTGTTTTTCATGGTCGGGGTAGGCATAGATGTTGCCTACTACTGGCAGGGTGATCATGTTGAGGTAAAAATAAAAGCTATACCGGTACCTATGGACATGATGGAAAGTAGGATGATGTACTGTGGGTGGTCTTTTATAAGAACATACAAAATTTGCAGTATATTCAGCATTGATGTTCATGCACATGAGATGAACATTTGTTGTACATGTATGCAAAAATAGTCATTATCTTGTGTCCTGATGAACAAAGTGTTTACCACTGAATTTCAGGGATATTTTTAATTTGTGTGTGATCCACATTATCTGAGTCGAAGGATGTCATTTTTCAAGTTAGAAACTTGAGATTGAATAAGATCTTGGCTGAAACCAGGTAGACCAAAATTACATGTACATGTAGCTGTCTTCATTAGTTATGAATTATTTGTGCTTGGTTCACTCTTCGTGTGTGTTGCAGAAGTCCAGGGCCCAGTAGTTGCACAGGTATGTAATTGGATTCTTTCCTTTCAGTGAGTGCTTGCGATAGACAAAATTCCCTATCATGTGCTTTGTATTTAATCCATTTTGGTTTCACATGTAGATCTAGGGCTAAGATTAACTCTAAAGGAGCCGGGGTAGAATTGGCTTCTTAGTACATCTTTTCCAATATTGTTGCAGTGTATTTTTTAATCACGTCAAGCATTGAAAATGTTTTCACTTACCTGTACGCGCACTGGTATGTCGTGCACTTATTTTGATACCAATATCACAAACATTGGTTGGCAAAAGTGTTTTGCCAGTGATCATGATGATGAAACATGAACCGAGAAATATTTGCTGATGATGTAAGAGCACATGTTGGATTGATGTTAACTTCACAACTGTATTCACAAGGGTGTCTCAAGTACATGTACCAAGTTGAGAACCCTTGGTCTTGTGACAGCCGAGATTGGCTTCCACCAAGCTTGAACAGGTCCAAAAAACCCCAACTCATTTAGGGTTAATTATCCAGACCCTTCTCATCTGTCATTCTTGCTGTCTTACCTTTGTACAGTATGTACATGTGTAGAATAGTGTCACATCATTTGAACATGTATACATACATGTTGCATTTGTCTGTGTGTTAGCATATGTTGGTTGCTTTCTCCAAACAAACCCCTTGAAGACACGTACAATGTATGAAACCTGCTCAGTTGTACGTCTGTCTCATGCAGTAATGGCTCTGGGCATTCTGTGCACTCCTTCAGACATGCCAGAGTGTGTACATACTCATGTAAGTGCACAGACATTTATACGGAAAGCTGCAGCATGAGGTTTAATAATATGCCATTTGGATTCCAAAATGGTTGATGTGATTCATGCTTTTGCTAGTGTGGACTGAACACATGTATGCTTCCACTCATTGCCCTGTCCTTCATGCAGATTCTTAATTTTAAGTTACCTGTGCAATCATTTCATAATACTGAGTACTGACTCCTCCCTTCTTCCTTATGTACAGTAGGTGACATCCTGTACCTTATGGTGTGCTGTGCTCTAAGACTATGCTATTAACACTGATAATATTCATGTGCACTCACTTCTTTCTGCAATGTGAGGTTCAGCTCTTCTTTGTAGAAACGTCATTCCAAACCCTAATCTCACTCGATCACATGTTTCTTCTGAGGAAGTTCAAATCCTTCACATGATTTCAGTCCCTCATTCCAATTTGTGCAGAAACTCAGGTGCATGCTGTTTGACACTGACTTTGACTTTTGTCAGATATCCTTGCAAAGGGAGATTCCCAATTCAGTGGATTTGGAATGGCTTCTGGGTCACACTCTTACCACATGTACCTTCTCAAATCCTTCAAAATGCACCACAAGGTTTTGGAGGGTATTGCATGTTTGAGAAAGTTGGAGCCAGTGATTGTTATGTGTATGTGACCTGGGAACTTGAATTTGGTACCCTTGAAACCCCACACTTGCTGTTAATTTCCAACAAAGTGTTGGGGATTTGAAGTGATTCTGTCCAGAGGGTTTATTGCAAAAACAGTCCAGGAGTTGCTTTGCATTTACATGTAGCATTAAAGTGAAAAAAAAAATCCAACTATCTGGTGCTTGCTTCCCATACATGTATTAAAGGCACAGTATACTGTACATGTATATTACACATGTGCATGTTTAATCTTCCTGTGTTCATCCCTCATTTGTACATCCTTCCATTACAGGTTGTTGAACCTCGCAATGGCAGACGTGACAAGCTTGCACATGTACATTCTAATGACCAATCCAACTTCATGAAAGCAAACCTGCCATTTGCACATACCCTGACAGGATTGGTACAGTTTACATACTGACAGTTGACTCACCTCAAACCGAACAACTAATGAACTATAAGTAAAGAACATTTGTACTATGTATCTATCACCATTGACTTCTGACTTGATAACCGTTGCCTTACCTGCTGATTCTATCCTTTGATTGGCTGTGAGTGACTTTTCTTGTATTCATTGTTTTTGCTCTTTGTTCCATGGTTAAAAGTACCGGTACTTCAAAACAAAAAAGTACAGTGTACCACCCCCAATGGCTGCCTCACTCTGAAGAGTACTACATATACTTGTATACCATTAGCAACCAGAGGAAGTGCCAGAACATACACATGTATGCTCTGTGTTTAAAAATAGGACCTATAGAAAAATGTTAATCACTCTAAAGTTTGTAAATGTACATGTAGAAATGACATCTCAGGCCATTTAGAATTGAAAAAAAAAAAAATTACCAGCTTTATTAGTGTGAGTCTTTCCATTTGAATAAAATATGTGTACATATACATGTGCATGTATAATAATGTACGGGTACATGTACCTCTTCCTGTAGATTTGTGCAGAATCTGTGGGTGACGTGTTATAATCCAAAATTGACTACTTCCAGAGTATGAGAAAACTGTCCAGAAATTGTCCATTGTGCATTATTTTTTCCTGAGGCAAGGGGGCGGAATGGAATGTTCAACAAATCAGCATGAGAGGCTAGTTTACCATACCAGTCAAGGCAGTCAATATGGAAATTATCCCTGACACTCCCAAATCCTCCAATTTTACATACGCCCTCGGGGGTCAGGGTTATGGCATTAAACACTATACTGTACATCTGTACAGCTGATTCATACCCTAGTGTAACCTTTTTGCTGCAGCACCCCATACATGTACAAGGCTGCCGGAGACTGCAAATCTTGGAGACTAAAAATTTTGCGATGGAAGTGCAAATGTTGCACAGCAGTGTCAGTAGTTTTCTGCCACAATCAGTGCAAGGCATAAGCAGTTTGTACATTTTGCTCATGCCTATTTCATTTGGTTAAAATTTGTAGATTCTGTCCAATGAAAGCTTGAAGGATTTAGTGGTTTCCAGCAATCTTGGATATCGTTGTGGGCATATTACACACATACATGTACATGTATGGACTGGCAGTAAGGTCACTTGTGCTCGTCTCGGAGGGACTGTGAGTGACCAGAAGAGGGTCCAATTCAAGGCCTGAGGAAAAAGGAACCTCTTCTGGTCTCTTACAAGCCTGAGGGGGCATGGGCCTGCACTAGTGACCGAATTTGGCCAGTCCATATGTGTTTTATAACACACCTCAAATTAGAAAAATACTGTTTTAATTCAACTTTCACAAGCATTTCAAAATTGCCAAAAAATTGAAGGTTCATTTTAGTGTCCCTTGACGCAGTCTAATTTTAAGTTGCTATACTCGACAAGGCAAAGAATTCTTCCAGGGCTTTTAACTGATTAAATTCAACTTTTCAATCATTACTATTCAAAAATTGCAAAAATTAAAGATTCATGTTAGTTTTCATAGATGTAGTCTAATTTTTAGTTGCTGTATACAATTAGGAAAAGAACTATTCCAAGGTTTTAACTGTTTCAACTCAACTTGGTTATTGCACCCTCCAGAGGGCACAATAACCAGTCAGCAATATTGAAGACTAGTACCTGACTGGGCACTAGTCTCTGGATTGATGCACGTGCAATGTCTAGGCGCGTGTCGAGTCACACTGAATCCAAATTCATGTACTAGCCCATATTAGTGAATCACACTTGACCGTATTTCAGCCAACCAGGATAAAGAACCAGGGAGAGGTGTGTTATAAATGAAACTATTATCCAACAGCCAATGACCATCAACTAACTTCTCCACCTCTGCCCCACTGGTAGACGAGGCAGTCACAGCAGAGACCAGTGCCAAGGTACGCTGTCAGGCATTCGACAGGCAAGCACCAATTCAGCAGCTTGGTGTCTGGTCACAATGCCAGTGAGTGGTCTTCCCCAATATCTGGGCTTTCCACCGAGCCGAATGTCAACATCTCCATCTTTGAGCCTTCATCAATTGACGTGTCATCCACCTTTTCGAAGTTCAAGGTTCTGCAGAGCTCTTTTCCAACTGATGGCCTGAACTCCTTTTTTACCATAAAGAATGCTAGACAGGCTTTGAATTATTCACTGTGCGACACCTTGGAACTACACATTGAGGCAAGGGACCAGCACAACCAACTCAAACAGTATGGTGGAGATTATTTCTGGGTGAGTTTTTGAAATCGAAGCAAATTGATTTTAGTGTGGAATGTGACCTTGCAACCCCTCGAATGCTGTGCTGAAGTGAAGCTCTATTGGGTCAAGTACTTGGCCTCCCAATTTGTCGGCGGCTGTGTTTATGCCAAAAATCTAAAAACAAAGATATTGCATATGCAGTTGAAGGAATCAATTGATGTGCATGTATGTGCCTTCTTTTTATGCTTGCTTATGTCATTGACGAGCCTTTCAACATTACATGAAGATGAAGTATAGAGTGACTGCTCAAGTGACTGCTCAATGAAGTCACTGTGAACCTATATGGTGTGTAGTGGTGGTTTGATCGTGGGAAATATTACTTAAGTGATTCATCTCGTTTGTTGGTAAGGATGTAGAAATCGAATTTATATATTGAACAGAACCAACAACTTTTTGATACTGACTTGATGGTTTTATTTTGCATTAAAGACAGATGTCTGCTAGTAATGATGGGTTAGACTTTCAGGTCGGTGTTGAAACTTTCTTGGGTGTGTTGCATGAATTCATTCTCTCTGCAAAAAAGCACCTCCTGGGATAATTTGTTGGGTGTATCAGACAACAGTTTCTCAATATTTCTATTCAGAAAAATGCATGGCAGATGCTCTGGTGATTTCTGACTCATTTTGTAGGGTCACATTATGTGTATATTCATACACTTTGAATCCCATGCTTAGTATTCCATGTTCTGTAACGTTCTGGCTGCACCAGGCCAAAATCTTCAGCATCACGTCGCATTCCAGCCAGCCAGCAGATGAGATCATGGACCATGGCAATGGCACTTACACGGCCCGGTTCGCTCTGCACTGGACGGGTGCAGTCAGCATGCAAGTCCTCCTCATCAAGTCCAGTGAGTATGTCGCACTGCTCCGGGAGTTGCGAGAGGCGGCCCCAGCCCGCTTTGCCTACAACGGGAAGTTTCAGGTTGGGGACCAAATAGAGGTCATGCCCTGCCACATCACTACGGAGATGTTCCTGGGCTTCATGGAGGCGGAGAGGTCCCGCGGGTTCTGTGATTTCTCCAACAGGCGGTTGGGTTTTCCATGGTTCTGTCTGAAGCCACACAGGCTTCCCTGCAGCTCGTTTGTGGAGCATATGGGGTCCTTGTCACGGAGTCATGCTTACAACGAGCTTTTGCTGCAGGACAAACCTATCTCTGTTATCCATCCGTAAGTGCACCTTTTTCAACACCTCAAGCATGGCAAGATTAGGAAATGTTGTGATTCTGATAAATTTTAATAATTGCACCATTTGCCTCTTCAAAATTCCACAAAAGCAAACAGAAAAAAATAAACAGATTGTAGGCAGTAAGCTATTTAAAACTTCCATCATTTATACCCAGATTTTTCAGAAAAAAATTAAATACTAATGTAATATTAACCCTAACACTCCTCAGTCCTTTAACAGGTGAAGGATTGAGGAGTGTTATTAAACCATACAAAGAACAATAAAAATGTTGCCTGATGAGGAATATTTATATTCTGATATCCTTTTTTCTCAGTGGACATGTACATGTATTGGCATGTTTTTGTTGTCAAAGAGCCATAGATAATATCTTGAGGAATTGGTATGAATTGATTTTTTTTAATGAACAGGTTTGCTGTCATCAAGCAAATTGGAGCTACAGCTATTGAAGTTACATCTGTGCGTAAGTAGGCAGTAAATTGTAGCAAATTTAACAAACCTTTGCCGATTTAATTTGAAACTGCACACCAGCTGACCCCCCTTACTTCCATGCAACGAGAACAGAACACAAAAAGCAAAATAGCCCAAAACAATAAGTTTCTCCCTCTGTTTTTCTTTAAAATCAAAAGCTTTTGAAGAGCAACATTTCCTGATTTTGGGGGTTTAGCATTCTGCACTAAAATCTAGGATCCGATCTTCGGGGTCTTTTCTAATTGAAAGTATTATCAGTTGTAAAGAATGTAGTGTTTCTCTTTTCTTGTCTCCTCAGGTAATAGGGAAGGGATGAGCCTTTGCATGGACAAACCTCTCCCCCTTTGTACCCCAGGTCTTCCTCCAAGACCCCCTAAATCCGTGGCTGGTTTCTATCACCAGACATCCTGGCAGTCTCTCATTTGCCAGGTGCGGAATTTCCAAACCTCGGATGCTCTAAAATGCCTCCAGGATCACAGTCTCTTTTTCTATGGGGACTCCACCTTGCGTCAGTGGTTTGAGTACCTGAGTCTTCGCCTGGGTCCCACCATGATGGAACAGAGCTGCTAACGAGCAAACTGGTCGGGCCGCGCTTTGTGCACGACGTGGTTCACAACATTTCCATGACATTCCGCATCCACGGGTACCCCATCCGCAGCATCTGGCTGCGTGTCAAAGATATTGCATACACCGCCAATGAAATTGACGCCTTGCCTGGCGGGCCGGACACTGTCGTTGTCCTAACACTCTGGGCCCATTTCACTCCCACCTCCCTCCAGTTTTACCGTGACCGCTGGAGGGCCATCAAGGCAGCCTTGCAGAGGCTGCAGATGCGGGCCCCCGGCGCACTGGTAGTTATTAAGTCAGCCAACACCCGGGAGCAGCAAGGCATCGACATGAGCAACTGGTATGCCATGGAGCTGGACAAGGTCATGAGGGAGGAGTTAGCCTTGGAACAGGGAGTGGCAATCATTGACGTCTGGGATATGACCTTGAGTCACTCCACAGGCTACAATATCCATCCCTCGGAAAGCATTGTTGCTCAGGAAATGAAGATGTTTCTTAGTTTTCTGTGTCCCGTCCCATAAAGTGGTTGTTGTAGAAAAGGTAGTGCTATATCTGTATGCAGTAGCGGATGATATCTGTACTTGTCCACTGTACTTGTACATGTGTATTCACACATGCTCACACATGCTTAAATTAGTCTATTGAGGTTAAACATACCGTATGTGGAGCGCACAAGCATCAATGTATCATGGCCGGGCATTGGAGTAGAGATTACTCTGTGACATCACCTGTAAAACTGCAGTGATGTGGTCAAAATATGCCACAAATTTTGAGCAAATGACCAACAAGGGTCAGTGTTTGTGAAGTCTAGTGTTGCAAAGCCTGGCCACTGATACATGTACTTAATGTGGTACTTCATTCCTTTTGAAATTTTATAAAAGAATGGCCATTTAGTTTCATTGCAGTGGTGCGTTTTGCAAATTACTTGTATTTGCAAAAATTTCTTGTGTGTGAATTTATCACAATGGTGCTTTATGTTTTTACATTGTATCTTAATTAACAAATCTATGCTATTTATAAAATAAACACTGTTATGCTTGAAAGAGTTTTTTATGCAAGGTTCAGTCTTCTTAAATGATTCATTAAGCTCAATATTTATTATTGGAGTTTGAAGTGTTACTTGCCACAAAAGTTAACCACCAATTCCTTTAAGCTCAGGAAATTTTGTGAGCTCTTGTTAATAGAGAGTGTTGAACTACAGGTAAATCACAAGTTATTTTAAAAGAGCAACAACATGCATACATCTCTTATATAAAGAATCCTAATCAGTTTGGAAGTGTGAATTGGGCCGATGATACTACATGTATTAGTTTTCACATGAGGGCGAGTTGCACATGGAATGATGAGTGTGTCTGTGTCCCACCGTATATCACAAGGCCGAAGGTGAGTAGTATACGGGACACAGACATGCTGCATCATTCCGTGTTCCATTAGTGCAAGTGTAATAACAAATTAATCTTCAAGCAGATGTGACATGCAGTAAACATGTTACAGAGACCCATGTGTGTAAATGCACCACCTTTGAATTTGCAATAAATTTTCCAGATGTGCACTGCTTTTCTTTTAGCGTCAAAATAGCGCAACGCATTGAGTTTTAAAAGTGCATTACGCAGGGTTTGAGTGGGAGGAGTTCACAATGCATTGTGGCACCACAATTACACAGCCTTTGCAGGACACATACATCAGGTGGAGGCTGGTTCTATAGGGTTGTATTGTCATAGGCTGTATCAGTTTACTGAGCCAGGCAGAAATTTCAGGCAACCAGTTAACACTGTCAATCAGGACTGTGGTGGTTCATGTACATATTGAGGTCCATGTAGCTTTGTCAGATCCCTGGTTTTTAAAGGGGAGTGTTGTATTGGATGTACATGGACCAAAACCTTACTCAGTGAATGAAGATGTGCAATATTGTATGATGTTACTTGGGGACCAAAATAGGGATACTGTGACCGTCAGTGGGGACAGGGTTGGGGATGTGTATTTTAAATAGGAGACGGTGGATGCAATTAATTAACATTGGTGGAAAGTATGATGGGTGGGGTGGGTGGGGAAGGGGAATTTTCCTTGTGGGATCATTATAATGTGCTGTTTGACCTTGGCATGGCTGTTTGTGATTCTGTGTTTATATACATGTACGTGCACCACAGAAGGTGGAGGCAGAAATATTTCTGGAAACTCTTTAACTGTGATGCTGTGGCATAAGCATAAAACTTCAAAATCAAAGCAAATTAGAGACAACAGGGATTGTATGAGTGTAATACTGACGCTTGTCATTTTAAAGCAAATGGTATTCAGATGAATAAAAAGAAATCTTGTTAACAATATGTGTGAAAACTCAAGAGGCAATCTATGCAAATCTGTGTAAATACGTCAATTCGGATCGTGGGATGAAACCCGTCGTCAAGGGCAGCTGTTTCAAAACCTTTGCTGTACGTGTAGATCAAAACAACATCTGTGGGTGTTATGAAACTTCAGAAACCTGCAGTGAGAATGACCAAATTTCAACCTCGACCTCAGTCAAAGATTAGTGGGGGAGTGGGAGTGTATTACACTTAGGGACAATGATACGTAAGGGATGGAGACGCGCTCGGCCGTCCTTCACTGTCACTTTTCATTTCACCACACAAGTGGAAAAATTTTTATTGTATAAGGCTTTTTAGGCACAGATTGGACCTTCTTATCAGCCAAACTACTGTTGTGTGTGGGATTTCCTTCTTGCCTATAAGCATATGTGCTTAAACATTTAGAAGGCTATAGAGTACCGAAGTGCGACGTCATCTAGAACCAGTAGATGCTGTACAAACGAATGGAGTACGCGCGCGCGTTGGTTCACGTGCGGGTACCATCGCTTTTCACATACAAGTGTGCGTGTCACGTACGTCACGCGTACATGGTACCCGTAAAAGGCGTTAGTACGAGAACCAGTGCCTGAACCAACACGCGCGCTTCATCCGTTTGCACTTCACTTTTCGGTTCAAATAACGTCAAACTTCAGTACTCTTGGGGCACTGTAAATCAGTCATATTTTAGTGTTTTTGTAATGTCCTTGTGCTAATAGGGGCTGACTGCAAATTGAAATATGGAGCGGAAACCGGAAGACGTTTCTAATTATTAAAAATGTATACAATTCATTTTTATTCACGTCGGCGAAAGTTGTGGTTTTGGGTGTACCAGTTAAATGTGAAACGGTTGAGAGTAAGACTGTGAAGTTTTAATATACGGTAAATCTAAACTATATGAAAATATCTCTCAAGATTCTCAAAAAAGTGCCCATCGTTCACAGTCGTCATGTTTTGCATTTGATAGTTCACTGATGTTTCCACACAGCACACCCGAAAAAAGTGCGTTGACATTTAATATTCATCTGTTCACTTACACCATGGGAATGATAACTACACTTCCCAGAATAAAGAAAGGTTAGCAAATTGATTGAAATTCTTAGTCAAGAATAATGCTTACTTGTTTGTTATACATCTCAGCTGTGTCCCAGAGACCTGTCAGTAGTAGATATAAGGGGACCGTTTGAGGATTGCAACCCCCACTTCACCCCCGCTCAGCTGTAGACATAAAGTATGATACTAGTAAAAATGGCGTCAAAAGACTGCAGTGCTAAACGTTCCTGTATTTATTATCGAAATGCCTAAAAATACAGGAGAAAGTACAATACTGAGATTTCTTTAGTTTCCTTGCCGCGTAATTTGTTTCCTAGGAGGGTTAGGGGTAATAAATTAAATGGGCGTATCTGAACCGTTGCGCATCCGTTTTTCGTAGGAAGGTTGGGGACAATTATTATAAATGGGGTGGACATACTTTTAAGGATAACACAACAAAACACAACCAACATCTAACAAAAGAAACATAGTGTCCACTGCTATTGCATCGTACTTCTTTTGTTAGATGTTCACAGTGTTCAGCTAATTGCATCGTTGCTGAGAAGAGCGCTTGACTTGAAGGTAAGGATTCGAGTTTATACTTTTTCGGTGGGGGGCAGTTAATTGGTAGGAGGATGATTTTATAATAGGAAAGTAAAGCCCGAAATTTACCATGTAACTTAAGTTGCAGTTAACCACGCACATATATAATAATTGCCCCTGACTCTCTTTGGAAAAAAAACCACTTCAGGGCAATGCCCTAAACCCTCCCTCAGTTGGTGTGCCTTCGGAGAGCTATAGCGGACTTCCTGCAGGGTTTTTGAAAAATCATATTTTCTTTCAGAACGTGCCTTTTACAATGACCGACAGAGTTTATTTTTCAAAGCTAATGTGAAATAGACTCTAGTTAACTAGAAATTGTCCGTTTACTTTCTCGATATTTTATTTCAAGATATTGTCTTTTGTGTCACAAAATGTATTTAAACATCAACAAAAGCTAAGGAGAGACAAAAGTATATAAAATGTTGAACATCTGTGCGCTCTTAGGAAACCCACCAGCCATACGGTAATTTAACTTTTAAGTCTTACTGTGAACATTTGTTCTGATTTTTGGAATGAAAACGAAATTAAAATCCCTGCATTATGAGGCCTGTTTGGGTTAAATAGCTCAACTACATCTACTCCAGCCAAATGAGATTTTGCGTTGTGTGCCTTCCCTTGTAGTAGGCCTATTGTTGGTTTTTGATTCTTAGAGATACCTACATCTCCGTCAAGATTAACCTGTATTTTGTTTTCAATACAGTCTTGTCGATCTCACTTGAAGTGGAAACAGCTCACGGATTAATCTGAAATTCGAATGATCAAGAGCGAGATGCAGACCACAAGGTTCCAGGTCCACAAAATTAATGTTCGTGATATCATGACAGTCAAGTAAATTTCTTTCAGAAGAATGCCCGCTTTTGCAGTCTTATTGCTGACGACCCTCAAAAAATACCACAGTTCACTTGCAAGAAACGAGTAAGCACGATACGAAATACCTTTTTTGCGGCGTTCTTGACCTTCAGTAGACATTGTGGTTCAGAATTCTCACCCCCCCCTGTTTTGTCTCCTTCACCTCGAGGCATTTTTACGAGGGACTGGAGGAGGTCGGCCAAGAAACAAGATCGGGGAAGACTCGGTCCTGTCAGCTTTTGTGCCCACGCCAGTCCTGTGTCAATCACTGTGTGATAGATATGATGAAACTAACTTGTTGAGAAGCCGTCCTGTCATTTGAAACTAGCCTCAACCTCCGTGGAAATCTTATAGCACACCGGCATGGGTCATTGGCATCAGCAGTTTCAAAAACCAACTCCTCTTTAGGGGAGAATTTGAAAGTCATCGATACCACTCCGAGATAGATTGACATTATAACAATAGTTTATCTGGGAAATGCTACACACAAAGTAACATCCTAACCAAGTAGCCTGTGTATCCAAACAACCATGTTTAACGAGACCTGTATAGGTAGGGGTCATCTATTTTGCCACTGGGGCCGGCATACAAACCGCAGCGGGGAGGCGGTTAGCTGCTAATAGCAGTTCGTGTACACTTTTTGATTACACTTAAAGATAAAATGATGGGAATAATTATTTCAGTTGGCACTCAAGGGGGAACGCGGAGGGGTCTGGAAAGAATGTACGCTCTGTACACTCGTAAAAAATGACAGAAATAACTGGTACGCTTGTTACTAAAACAAAACCCGTCAGTCGCAAATCCACTCTTTTTGCAGTGTGATATTCCAAGACCTTAAAAAAGGGAATCACTGGTGAATCGAGTACTATACTGGAGCACGTCAAAAGTGAGCTTCTTGTGGAAAAAAAATCGTTTTGGATACCTCAGTGATGAAGTGGATCGAGTGACAAGGGTACATATCCTGTGTGTGGGGGGGGTAGGGCAATAGGGGCCTTAATTAGCCCTTCCCAAATAAGGAACATTTTTTCAGAAAACAGTATTATGACAGAAAGGTAATGTTTATATCTATTTTCTTTTCCTTAGCTTCAGAGGGTGTTAAGGGCATGGAAATGTAGGCGCAACCCTCAAAACCCCATAGGCCCTAAAAGGTTACATGATAAAACATCCAAAATTTTAAGCTTGCCTCAAACACACAAACAAATAATAATTTTTACTCCCCCCGAAAAGTTGGTTCTGGATCCCCCTTGCAGAGTCGCAGGTTGTGATGTTAACACAAGGATGAAGGATGCCATGTGTACCTAAGTAGGGCTACTTTGATCATGAGTTTTTTTTTTATAAACATTCCAATTTCATTTTGTGGATGGCTTCGGGAAAGTTTCCAGACAGCTAATAACCATTTCACTAATCTCAAAAAAAAAAAATAAATGAAGTTGAACCATTTCAAAAGTTAACAACCTCAGAAAAATTACTAGCGGTCTGTTAAATACGTTTGCGGACACTTGCAATATATTTTCTAAACAGAACTTGATAAATTGCAGATGGGGATTGTGCACGACCTACCTTTAACGGAAATACCACACGACTTTTCGTCTATCATCTGACTGAACAATTTTGGCGGGAAACGGACACACCTGGCATAAAGTGTTTGTTCAACTATACCTTTGTTATGCAAATGACGCACACGCATTGGTATTAATAAGTTGTGAGCGGACTGTCGTTTGCAAGTTGGGCGGTGTCGTTCACTCAGTGAAACTATTGAACAGTTTGGAAAAGATAGTATTCGTGGTGAGTTTTTATCCTGCGTGCCTATAGTCACAGACAAAAACAAGAAAACTACACACAGGATACAGACATTATGAGAAGGTTGGCGAAAGGTAGACTGGTGTAAGTTTTACGAAGCTCAATCGCTGCGTGGTAAGTGTCCTACACCGCAAAGCGTCGCCATCTTGATTTCTGACCGTACATGACAAGACTTGCTGGGGTGTACGCCTGGATTGTGTGTCAGGAGAAGGAAGAATGTTTCATTTGCGGAAGTAGGACAACCTTATTGTTGCGTGGAGGTTATGGATTTCAGAAGGATAAGCGGCGTGACACTTCAGTTTTGGTAAGTGGTATTCACTTTTAACTTGCACTGCGAGCGTCACCTTATCGTCACCCTGTCTTAGTTAATGCTGCATACAGATAGAGCCTACCACCAGACGTCAACGTGAGCAGAATGATAGTCATATATTGCCAGTCACTGGGGGGTTGTACTCGTCTTTGTTGTTTCTTGACTTAAGTAAGACTGACGACCGACCTTTAAGTCAAATCTCTAAATTCATGTAGAGTATTACCGGCGTGGTAAGGTCATTTTGACTTGTCAGTGTGTGTGGCAGGGGTAGCGGTGGGATTAAATACTAGTGATAAAGAGCACTCAGTGTCCATGGTGAAATCAGACACGATATCCCCCTTGTAAACAGGATTTTTCTATCTTTTACCTCTCATTAATTTTCAACATTCTGTAGTGTAGTTTGTGTGTGTGGGGGGGGGTCTGCGGGGAACTCGTGCCTGTCGAATTTCAATCGTCAGCGTACCTTGCTGAAAATTATTACGGGTTGGGGATCAGCACCATCCTCTTCAGGACGGTATATGGCTGTAGATTGTGCTCTTTAAGGCTTCAAAATCTCGTTAAAAGAGGAAAAGGATTCGTGTTTCAAAATACCATGCAGTATATGCTACTGCCGTTACATGTAAGGATCCAGTGCAGGGATCTGGCAATTATTAGAGTTTCTTCCTTTTCCTCAAGACTTGAACACCCCTCGTATAGTCCTCAATATTTGCAACGAAATCGCTGTACACGTACTGTATTGTAAATAATACATGTTTTTGAGACAATTTTCAAACAATTTTGTATAATCTCAGTTTACTTGATATTTCACACCTGAGCTTAAATCGGTAATTAGGTCATTCGGGGTCTATAGGTCTTCCTGATTTCTTCAGAAATAGATCTATATCAATGCAGTCATTCATGGATTTTTGGTATTTGATGAATCACAAGCTTGCTTCCAAGGCTTGGGGAAATGTGGCAAAATTGCGTAGATGCCAAAACTGCAACTCATGTTGGCACGTATTAATTACAGCAATTACATGTGTTACACTCCTGCTTATTATTACCAACATTTAGACTTTGCTTCTAGACAGTAGCGTTTACACCACCATTGCAAGCACCGTGAACACCACACATATCGCCGATACCACTGCCTCAAACAATCTACACAATTAATCGTAGTACATCACCATCACTGGCAATACCATCCACTCGAGTTGCCCTAACGTGATTGCCACCTCGGTCCTAGACGCTTCTCGTCCCTCTCTCGCTCTCACCTTGATCACCTCAAACGCCAACATCCACTGAATGGCGCGTGCGTCACCCTCACCACCCAAAGGCGGATCCCAAACAGAATTTTTCGGGGTTGGAGGCAAACAATTTTGGAAGTTCTTAATGTATCCCAATATAGCGTTTCTTTGGTCGAAGATAAATTTCGAGGCATTTCACACGTTTTTCGAAGGGGAGTGAAATAATCCCCAAATCGCCTTTCTTCTCATTATTCAAAAAGAAAATGCTCCTTTTTGGACCCTGGCTCCGTTGCCCTGGATTCGCCAGTATCACCACTACCACCCTCCGCCAACATAACCAACGCCCTGACTCCATGCACCAAAGAGGATGGTTGCACTACAGTTTTAGAATTCGATTTTTTTATTAGTCGAATATCGATCACGTGATACCCCACAAACACACATGCAACCTCACTCTACTGTGCAAACAAAAATATCACCTTCGTCTAGGCTTTTAATTAATCTATAAGATGAAAAACAAACTATCAAGAAGAAAATGTGAAAGGACTTTAACAGTGGAATACCGTTGCGAGGGTTACTTAAGACTGGACTACTTGTGTGCTTACAAACTTGCCTTTGCCAACATATGCAAAATCATACCAACTTCCAAGTGATATTTGTAGTCCTTCATGATATTTGCAGTCTTCCGCCATTACTGTTATACCGTCCTCCTTTTCATCCACTGCCGTATCTCTTCGCTCACTACGTTGAAACGCTGAAGCATTGGTCATGACTTACAATTTCCAATACCTTGAGGTTATTTGGAAAAGATATCTACACCATTTGCATGAGTTGTATTCTAGTGTACTTCTACAGTTACTATTCAGTCATTTGCCCAAGGGCTAAGTTCTGTGTTGAGACAAAGCAGAAAAAATAATTGTTAAACCATAAGAATACACTTACCAAAACCACAAACACTAACTGAATTAAATTACATTTACTCAGTGCTGAAAAATTATATTGTTCACCATTTTCTTTGCACAGTCAGTGCGTACTGATATGAACAGGTTGAGTAGTACACGTGCTTGCCATACGGTACTGTTTTCTATCAGAATCGTTTATATCGTTTATTTAGAATTACTGTATGATTATTTTTTTATTCTTCCAATTTATATAAAATATGTATTATTATACGTTCTGTGACGAAGCGTTCTGGGCAAAATTCTCCGTATATATAAAGGTCTGCCACTTTGCAAATTCTAAAAGCAGAAATTTGCTCTAATGCCAAGAATTCGCGTTGACTTTTGCAGTTTCATCTAGCACAATCCGATTTTTAGCATTTAAATAGTCATACCACTGGCCGAGTTAGACGTCTGGGCGGTAATTCACAGAATGAGGATTTATGATCTCATTAAACATAATCTAACTTGAAAGATGTTGCCATTGGTAGGCATTTAAAATTGAGGCTGAATGACTGCACAGGTACAGCAGGTTGGGATGGCAATGTGCCGCCAAGAATAGTCTGTTTCTTCTAGCTCTCTCGCCCAGGCCATCACCCATGAGTTGGTTTCCCGACACTCTGTAGTGGCTCCCTCTTCTGATGGGGAGAACCCGTAGCAAGACTGGTTCTCGTGCCGACAGGTAGTGTGCCAAAACCACTGGAGTTGGCTAACTTCCACCTGCAAATTTGAAGAGCATTCGACACAAAATTATCTTTGGGCCTTGACAATTTGGTTTCATCATGAAATCAAAAAACCTCGTATGTAAATTTTCAGTTCAGATTGAACCAGAGCCTTTGACCTGCTTCTCTATACTATAATTGCATTATCTATAGGTGGTACCCCAGTAAGATGATTTCATGTGAATCTTTCATGTGAATAATTAGTTCTATCTGAATTTCAAATGTAGCCATAATTTGAGGGCAGTCCATCTGTACTTACTTCTTCATTGTAAATATCTGTTGCTGTCTGTATGTGAACCCATTCATTCTTTACCGGACATGCTCTGAACGGTGGGCCACGGTCCCTCTGAAAAAAAAGGGACATTACTGTTGTGATGATGGCCAAACCCTATATTACAAGGGTTGTTTTTGAAATAAAAAAATAAATCGGAAAATCATTTGAAAGTCTTTGTTTAAAATCGCAGATTTGTCATAAAAAGCAGCAAATTAATAAATTACAGCAAAACATTATGTTACCATGTTTAGACATTATAGCTCCTATTTTACCTTAAACATGGAAAGTGGGGGTTCCGGTACGAATTCGGTAGAGTCTCCACTCCAGGCTGTTCCACCGTTTGGGACGTCAGGGATATGGCTAGGTCTGTCTGGCGCGAAGGATATCCGCATAACCGCGGCCTCCTCCATAGACGGGATGGAGAGGATGTCGTACAGTGTAGGCTTCTCTGGAATGCTCCTTAATTCCGGTGGTACATCTAGAATATCAAAAAATGGCTGCAAACACGAAATCAACATCACTGATTCATTTTCCATCTCTTCTCAGAAATATACCGTTTTCAAGGTACTCTGATACAATAAGAATTTCATCCAATTTAAATTTAACTTAAAAGCTGTGATCCCATCAAAGATACTTTGTTTTCAGAAATTTAAATGTGTTTTATTTTTATCTCTTTGGAAGTAAACTTAGCTTTGAAATTATTTATATTGACGACGTTCTGTGAAAAAAGATCGAATTCGTTGGAGAAAAACAATCCTGTCTTGGAACAATCGTGTAAATTTCCTTAGAAAAAGCAATACATGTACTTTGAAGACAGTAACTTTTTAAATATCGTTAACGTCGGTTGCTCAGAAATAAGTCGTTGTTGATTCGTAGGACAAAGGTGGTTTTGAAAATTAACTTCCATTTCACCTATCCGAAATACAGGCTCGGTAAATATGTGCAATCCCTATTTTGATTCCCTGAATGGATCCAAACATATTGACTGGCTTCTCGATTGGTCTTTAACAAACTAAAATGAACTTGTAAGTCACGTACCTCTGATTTTTGCTGTGCTACCCTAGCTTCCACGCCCGTCTTCCCTAGTATTACTGCACAAATGAAAATAACTCCAACCTATATTGAAACTGTCATATCAATGATTAAGCTGTGTTTTTGACATTTTTATTTGTGTCACACAACATATACACTAATTTCAGGACGGCAAATAAATAATAGGATTTTGTAACCTAACGCTTTAAACCGTAAGAAGCCCGTAGGCCAGTTTCTTTCGAAAATATCACAGGAAACAAAAGCCTCGGTAATCGAAATAAAGAGACGGCGCTTATATTTCGTGTTTGTGTATTTGGGGCGGATCGAATAAGATATTTTGCCGCCTCGTTCCATTCAAACACTAATATCAACATAATTGCAAGCCTCTAAAATACTTTTGATTACCAATCAATTATTCCGTTCGCGTTAAAACGTAGTTTGTCACACCAAGAAAAACTGAAACCGGATACTCGGCTATATGTCAGTTGTCAGATTTGATGTGGTTATAACACAGAACAAGTGGTGTTCTTGGTAGAAGGGCATAAACGCTAACGATCGTTTGCTGGGAAGCATGATCACTGCCAAAAAACCTTTCCCGGCAAAAGGACGTACGTATATGAAACTGTTTTATTTGATTGAAATATACAGATTTCGTTGCCAAAAAAAAAAATCCAAGTCGTTTAATAACTTGTTCAAAGGATGGTTACTGTACAGCCTGTGTTTTTTTGCAGTAAATTTTTTTTTATCCCTTTTTACTAAATAAAGAGCATGTGTTTCTTACTGCCATTTGCAGGGAACACTTTTTCTGCTGTGATCATTCTTCCCTGCAAAAGATGGTAAGCGCGCTTACTCCTTTTTGCGGGCACACGACACTCAGTATATCCAGTTTTTGGGGGAATAGTAAATATACAACTTCTTTATTCACTCAATATGGGCTGAGCACAGGTCCCAACCCAGCAAATTTGAGTTTGTACATCTCGTTTCTTTAATCCCCTTACAACTGTCACCCCTCTTTACGTTATGGTTTATTTACTTGCTAAATGATGTACCTTATTTTATTCAAATATAATGTACACAATGTCAGAGTTATTACATTATGACACTTGCAGTATAAAAAGTGGCACAATCGTTTAATCAACCTTTATTCAAGTTGTCTGCGATAGAATGATATGAACAATTTTCTGTTCAACTGGTTTTCTCTTGGATGGACCTGGGAGCAAAGACGTTACATACCGGTAAATCATAGGTCATAACTTTGAATGCAAAATGCTGTCCTTTGTTATATTTGTGTTTTTGTGCTTGTTATCGTCCATTGTTCGCCTAATTCAAGGTTAGGCTGGTAAAGATGCTTGATCATAAGCAGCATTCAACATATTAGGGACGTTTTTTTAGAAACGTAGTAGCCATCTGAGTAGAATTCTGTGTTACGGAAGGAAAACAAGGTAAATATTTTGGCGAGGTATGCAGGTACATTCATTAGCCTCGACTAATTAAATTCGTTGATGTATTTATAGGTTGATTTCTCCGTAGTTTTTGCTCGTTGATTCGAATGGACTAGTGGGTTCATCGTGGGCTTTTGTCGATCGAAATGATTGGATATTAGAGGTTGATTGAAATAATCGGCACGCCTTATTAACCTTGTAGGCCGTAATTGGCGTAAATTCAACGTAACTCAAAGCCTTTTTTTGAAGTCTTTAGCACTAGACCACCATAGAATATGAACAGTAAATACACTGCAAAAACTGCAGTGTTAAAATCAACACTTTTTGTGTTTTCAGATGACCACACCGTAAGGTACGTGTTCGTTTAACACTGCTTGTACAACTTTGCACATCTGTAAGTGTTGTGAGTGCACTGGAGAGTGTTAAAAGTAACACTAAATAACACCAAAAGTTTTAATACCAGTGAAAGGTGTTGGTGTAGTTCCCGTTTAAATTTAACACCCCGGTTTGTGCAGTGTGAAACAAAGTTCAATGTTCCAAATTAGGTAATTCCGATTTCCCTTCTATTTTCACAATTTTTGTGCTCGTTTTCGTTGATGTATCCCTTTCAAATACAGTAAGCAAAGCAAATTTTGAAGTCTGACTCAGAAAATAAACCCCGTCATCTAGAACTTTGGTAAGTTAAATTTTGGTATGTAAGTAGTAATACTGCAGTTAATGTCTTTGAGTGATGTAAAAGAACAGCCAAAGACAAATCGAAAATTTCCAATCACCAACTCAGCGCATAGATTTAGAATTAAACTACTTACCTGCTATCAAAAGAAAGACAACAGCTGAAACTCCCTTGGTCTGAGCGCCCGTCTTGAAATCCCCCATTAGTGATAAAGGTATTAATGGACTCACAGCCCTCATACACATTTCGGACAGCAAATCGTCCCAGCTGTTACGTGCGTCTAGGGAGAAATATAGTGTTACGGTTTGCAGTGAAGAGCGCCGAGTTCGGTTCTGTTAAACAGCACGTGCCAACAGGCTGCGTGTATTCGCCATCGCAAGACACTGCACGCAGATTCCACGCTAGATAACTGTCATCCAATACAAATGGTAAATGAAGAGGGCCTTTCTTTATATACCTCAAATATTCCAGTGGAAATGCAGACTGGAGAACATTTTTTTACAAGGTAGTATTACTCTGTGTGGGCGGATGAAAGAACGACTACCCACGGGGAAGAAAACATGGGAAAAGTTAAGTAATAATTCATTCCACTTTTATATCAAAGAACAAATAGCGTAAATTGGATATTATGCAAGACATTCTTGGTATGTTTAGATATTCTTAATATTGCTCTTGACAAGAGCTGATTTCTCAGATTTGTGATTTGAGGGAAGTCAGGCTACAGAAAGGAAGCGTATATTTTGGTAAATAAATTTCGTTATTTGTTCGTAAAACATCAGTCTAATCAAACGGGGAAATGAACAGGTGAAACATTTGACAGGTGAAACAGCTGGTCCCAACAAAAGTCATATTCTGTTCATTTTAAAATTGAGATGGCAGGTATGCAGTACCCTTCCAGGAATTTTCATTTCTTAATTCACGATCTGTTTGCTGTTTTTTGTTGTCTGTTTGGTGTTCTCTTGTTGCTGTCGGGGTGGTTTAATGATACGCACAGCAAGCTGTGTGTTTTTGTGCTAGTGCTCGTTTCTGTAATTTACATCAGTGAACCGTAAGTCTGTTAAAGGACACTACAAAAAAGTGAGATGGAATCAATACAAGTGGATGGTTTCAGTGCAAGGTTCTACAATCATCCAGTGCTGCTGGGTGGTATCAAATTCTGTATCGCTGACATGTGTGGCTGACCCAGTGGGCAGTGTGAATACTCGCCGTGTCTTCCGGGCATGTGTCTTCTTGTACCCGGCTAACACCACTTTCCATAATTTTAGGGCACTGTCGATGTCACATTTCATGGATACGTATGGAAGATTTCGGTATAACTGACATCCGTCAAAGATGTAAATTTACAGTGACAGGGTGCCTTCATTTTCGGAAGATGATTGGCTGCATTTACCACCTGAATTTGGTTCCTGTATTGGTCAAAGCATGCGTATGCGTAGAGTATGTAAAAAAGTGACAGAAATCATTTTTAACACATTTTCTTTCTATTTGAGTGTCTAGTTTAATAAGTAAGGCCTTTATACAAATGAACTTTGTACTTCCATTTCGTGCAAGTGAGCAGCAGGCCTATGAAAAGCAAACACATTTTTCACACACAGTCCAATCAGTTTTTCTGTCCTTCGGATGGTTAATTTTCTTGTCGCGCAAAACACCGTACGGCAAACGTATGTCCATGAGTGCACACCATGAACTTGACGGAAACACTCTTGATAAAAAAGGACTGATTTAATTCATCACGTGTATGATCATCAGGAGAGACGAATACCAATAAAATCTGATGATATAAACTGACAAATGTTGAAAAAGATCAATCATCAGTCGGAATGGTCATCGACTAAATTCACTATAGCATTTGTGCGTTCCAGTTTTCTCGAGAGGAATTTGATTTCATCGTGTATTAAATTTGAACGAAATAAAGGAAATTTTCCGGAAAACCTATATTATGGCTTGGATTGTGATTTGACTTGTAATAAATTTGCCATTATTAACTAAATGTATGTGATTAGCTTGTGTCATTATAAGTGATTCGACATGAAAAACGATGGGACATTGGCTTGTTATTGACGTTGTAATTGACCTGTGACCATTTTAATTGCCTTTGCTGGTGAGCGCTTGTACATGTAGTTGGATTGTGATGACTATTACAAGACTTACATAAGACATTGCTCTTAATTTATATATAGGGAAAGATATATCATCTGATAATTTCCTATAAACTGAAGTGAGTATTTGAGTGAAATTCTGACTCAATAAAATTAGGACTCATTAATACTTCGCATGGCGTTGGTGATTGTGATGTATGGAGTATGTATAGAAATAATAGAGTTCATAAAATAGGAGCTATCATTTATCATGATACCGGAAAAATGTTTCAAATCTGTTGGGACCTTTATCGATTTTACACACGTGGCGGGCTATATATCTATCAACAGGAATGAGTAAACTGTTAATATCATTTCAGTGTACCCGAGTTTGAATAGGTCAAGTACCGTAATTAATCGGCAAAGAACTGTGCCGAATATCTTATTGATGGCTAAAAATGGTCTCCTTGCCCCAGTTCAAACAACCGTGTAATTTAGTGTTCATGCCATCGTCCACAAAAATTTGTTATTTAAAACCCTAACATGTCTCAACCCTCCTATTTCTATATGATATTACACACACCCTATCCGCCTCGGGCAGAAGTGTACACCCTGATGGGTTGGAAATAACCATGCCTGTTTGGTGGGAAGTGTTTTTTGTCGGTTGTGACGGGACCGTAACGCTTGCATTTCATACCCGTTTGAGAATTAGCGAAGTGCTGTTCTCACCAAAGGAGCCCTCGTTGCTAGGAAAATGGCGCCCTCTCTTAATTGGTTCAGCTCGAGGCTCTTAGGGTTCTTTAATGTTAAGACAGTATACGGCAACAAGAAGGAAAGTACTTAAACCTTTGGTAGACCCAAGATACTATTTTCCTGCAGAATTCAACAGGCTGAGCTCAGTTCTTGCTAGAGTGGTGGTTGTTTTTATTTCTAATAGGGTTTTCTCCAGAGAGAACCTTTTCTGAAGGATATAATAGGGCTACGATTTTAATCTCTAAAGCTGTTTTTGGTGATTTTGAAGTTTCTATTTATAGTGATTTGCTCTGCCAGCTTTCGCAGCTTGTATTGCAGTAAGGAGGGTATTGTTTGTATATAAGGCTACGCTTGGTGCACACAGTCTCCCTGTCATTTTTCGTGTTCGTCAATTTTATTAAAGATGTATTTTGATGAGTGATGAATGGAACTCTAATGGTACAGAAATGGTGTGTAACTTCACCGGTAGGCCTAACCCCATCGATTTTCCTACTGACATGAACGCGGATCTCAGATGACTTCATGGTTATGGCCAGGTTGAACATACCAGCGCCGTCTAAATGGCAACCTGTCTTTGAGTTGGACCGAGTTTCTTCAACACTTTCAGAACTTTGAGATTGCTATGGGTGTCAATCAAAGGATGAAATAGTCCGTGTTGAAACGTTTGTCTCCGTCCTAGGACTACCCGCTGTGGACACCTTCAATACCCTCGATCTTAGTGGACGGACGAAAGCGATGCCAGACATTGTGACGGAGTTTTGGACAAATTCCCCACATTTTGCAAGGGCAAGAAAAATACAACCTTTGAATAATATGCTTTACTGTAGAGTTAGAGGGAAAACAAAACCTCGGCAGAACCTGTAAATTCGTGGAGCTTAGACCTTAAGACAGTGTGATTCTAGCCCGTCTAACACTCGGAGACATTGGCCTCAAGCAGCACCTCAGGTGTGACCCTGTATACTAACCGAAAGAGTGTCGCTTGTGAGAACTCCTGCCATAGTTGCAGCTCAACTCAGAAGCACGAACACGTGTTTAACAGTCCATGTCAGTGCAGTTTGCAGACATATATGGCCTATGAAACACAGAACCAACGTTGACAGCGTCACACCAAATATTGCATCCTGAGCGCAGACGGGCCATCTGAAGCTACCATCCACTCTACATCTACTTTAATGGCAACTACAGTCACATTCAGGCACATACCCTGACTGTAGAAAACTTGTGCTGCAGAAAAAGAAAAAAATCATTTTGCATCTTTATGCCACGTTAAGAGACAACACAGGGTACACATGGCTCAAGACAACGTAAACAATGGACAAGAGTTTGCAACATGCACAATACTGGATTATTTTTGGCCATCCAGTACCCAACTACTGATAAAAATAGGATTATGAACCAAAATTGCGCTTAAATGTTGATCTACGTTTGACCTGAAAATCTAAATAATGGCGTGCTCAATCATTGGTTAAAATACTTTTGTCTAGGTATTTTAATCAACTTTACCCAACTGTTGGAAGAGCAAAATTTGACCAAGAATTGGGGAAACCATTGTGCTCAATATGCATGATGCACATGTTACTGAACTGTCGGTGGGGTTGACGATCTGTAAAACGTTGGACAAAAAGTTGATCAAATAATTTAACAATTTTTTTTTACATTGCATGACGGCAAGCAGACTGTAACCAACACAGGTGCGTCGGACAATGTCATGAGCTTGACCATCGTGACTGCGTCACCTCCCTCATAAGCCAAACGTGCATACAAATTACGGATCTTTAAGTTGTTAAAGCGCCAGTCCACTCCCGGGTTCCTAGCCCATTCAATGACTGTCAAGTACAGAGACAACTCCACCAGCTCTGAATTCCATGTTGTAGAAGGACATGGTGAATTGGTGACGGGAGTTTCCGAACTGCATCGTCACATATTATGGTACCGATATCGTACAATTTTGATGCACAATCACCGACAATTGATGACATCGTTGCTCAGTATAAGCTGATAACTTTGAAGGGAAATTGGCTGATGTGAGGTGCACACGTCATGTTGATAAATGTGTCGCTCCAGTGGCGCAGCCACATCTAAGCATTCCCCCCCTCGTTTCAACCAAAAAATGAAATCAAACGCCCGCAACCCGACATCATGATCTACTGTGGCGTGCACGGTGTTGTCTGCTCCTCGTGACGGGGTAACTCTACCACCTACTGGAGTACGATCGAGCCTGCTCAAACGGCCTAACCTCTCAGCCTCGTGCCACAATTGAAACAGCGCCACCATGCTGCTGAGATTTCTCTAGTTGTTTGTTTTAGCTCTCACCAGCAGTCAAAACCTTTGGGCGTTTTTGGTGATGACATTGGAGGAAGCCAGTAACTAGGCCCACAATAGCCTGCTCAGACAACATCACGATTTACATTCAAACTCGGTGGATTGTAAAATTGAAAGAAGGGTGCTTTTGAAGGGAATAGCGGTTTGTATTTCTAAAAAAGTGATGAATTTTGGAGCTGTTTTTCAAAAATGGTGATGGACTTGGGGACTACCGGTATTTGTGAAGGTGGGCATTTTTATTGAAACCAAAAACACACACACACACAAATCCGATCAGATTAAACATAAAAGTTAAACAAAACTGAAAGATTTGAGTTTGTCATTTGTCTTGCCAACTTAAAGTGGAATTTGAACGGCAAGGTGTTAGTTGTTTGATTTCAAGATCGCTGTAAGTATATATCTATTTGTCACGCGCATACGAAAATCCTGATTCGATTTCTGTTCTACCGGTGTAAAAGTTAATACACAATACGGAGGTTTATGACATTTGAGCCCGTAATATTTGAAAATCAAGTGGTTTGGAAACCCCCCCAGCCCATTGTCAATTCATAAATCGCTGCGTCTGCCACTGGTTTTGTCTAAGCATTTGTAGCGGCTCAGTATATATGCAGCGGTTAATTATCTATAAAATCGATCGTGAAAACATATTGCTCGGGCAGATCTCTTTAGAGAAATCAGTGTTGTTTCAAAGAAACGTTTCTCTGTAAGGGTGTGGATTAATCTTTCACACTTCAAAAGAGCTTGTTACTTAAAAAATATATATATTGAGTGATGGTATTGAAGTTTCTTTGTTATTCCTGCAAGAACTGGATATAATCAGAACAACTCAACGCCATCCCCTGAATAATAAGTAAAATGGCCTTGCCTTTTGGTGAGAGAGATGGCACAGAGGGAAACTGACAAAGGTAAACGGTAGAAATGAAAAGCTCTCGTGGGTAACCCTTTCAGGTTGCTACATTCTCAACGGTACTTAACGACTGCTTTTGTGTCCAAAAAAGCCCTGTCTCTTTTCTGAAGTTGATTTCACTTCTCGGCACCTTTGGGTTTTCTGACGTGCGTATTAAATCATATTAATGGCAACCAACTCTTTTCCATGGCCCACGTGTGGCGTGAAAAGTAATCACAGTGCATGACCAAAAACAAAATGATATAAATATGGCGAGTTGGAAAACATACTTGTAGCTATTTCATTTCTAGAGGAGGCATTTCCTAACGTCTTTTCTTGCTAGGGGGAATCCTCTCAGTTACTTCGAGGGGCTGACACTTGTGTTCGGTTCTCCCCCCAGCAACTCAAGGCGGTGCTCACTCACTGCTCACAATCTCAATTTGTATTCATAGTTTTTCGTAGAGATTTACAGAAATGTAAAGTTTTCCTGGAGTTGCACTTTTGACAGTTTCAAATTCAGATTTGGTTTAAATGAGCCATTGCCAAGAATCTTTGAACCTATTTTGATGTACAGTATTAAATACCATTGCATGTTTTTATGCGTATTAATTGCCTATACACATGGAATCCCATGGTATCACAAAACTTTACCAGAATTCACTAACACATTATGAAATTTCGTATCTATTTCTTAAAAGCTGCCAAATCTTTTCAACCGTTTTTAATTGTTAAATTTGAATAATTTAATCATTTCAAAGCTAATAACATGACTAGAACACGTTATCCTCCAAACACGAGTATGAATGGACAATAATTGTTCATAGCCAAAATTGGTAATGGCTCTCTTTTTTATAAATCGTTCCCAATTAAGTATTGACTTTTTTCTACAATTTTTGTCCTAACTGTTGGTAGGACAAAAATATATAGAACCTTTGAGAAACACGTACTCCTCAATCAAGGGAGGTTTGATGATTTCGGTCTCGCAGTAATATAGCATTATCGTAGGATTTGCTCTTTGTGGACTGTGCATCAATACCTCCCCTATACAAAAGGGGAAATCCGAGTGAAGCATGAAACGGTTTGCAGAAAAGAGAAAAACACATCGGCAAAATGTGCATCTTGCAGATTTGTCTAAATTAGCAGTTATAAGCTTTATTGATTTTCCTCATTAAAATCGGCTCATTGGATTGTCGATTTTAAAATGCATTCGTGTCGTCATTTCAGATTGAGTGACAGCAAAATAACCTTTCTCCATGATTCATATCACTGTTGCAATCTACCACCACTTTCATCTTCGTTATCAGGTTATCACCACCACTTTCCCTCGCCCTAGCACTCTACCACTAACCATCATTCGAAGTGCAGCCACTTCGGCCATCCACACCTGCACACCGTCATAATTGAACCACCAAACCATACCCTCCTCCACTTCTGCAGCACCTCCTTCTGTGACATGACTTCGGCCGCCAGTTACTTTTGTTGCTACCAACCATGTCACGCTATCCGTCACAGCCTCAAAGCCGCCATCGCCTCAGTGTTTTCCCGTATTAACCCATTTGCGACACCGACCCAAGTAACCGTTAATAATGAAACAATCCAATGGCTATTTTGAATGCCATTTGTTCCACGCAATCATGATCTGGTAATATATAATATGTAATATTTTTACAATTTTAAAAATTACTGCTGGCAAGGCGTTGGCTAATGTGGCCTCCAGATGTTTCCGTCAATAAAAATATTTTTGGCATTCATTTCATAAATTAAAGTAACTTCTGAAGCCTCCGTTTTCAAGCCTCTTCTGCGTTTAGCTATACTTCTATAAATGCAAGTAAACAAAGTTTCATTACGCTAAATATTCATCTTCTGAGCTGAATGAAAACTAATGTTGACCCCAGCAGCTTATTTATGGAGTAATAAAAAAATTCTGACCATAGAAAAATTGCAACTCGAGGAAACAGATCGCAGCACGGGGAGATGCGTTTTGTGTAGCGATCAGTGTACGCAGTGTTGCGATTTCAGTGATAGAGACAGATTTGTGTGAAGTTTGCCTGAAGCGCGTGCATGAGTATCGAAGGCGATTGCACGTGATTGCACTTATGTAGGCTTAGCGTTTGGAAAAATTTGTCACTAGGAAGGGATTTGCAAAACCTACGAAAAGCAACACAAAAGCTGCCGTTGTCTCCCGGTACCCTCAGTGGATTGCTTGATTACCGTGTGTACGGTGATGCTTGTCGTACGCCAATAAACGACCGCCAACTAGTTCAAATAATTCAGAATATTAGAACACCTAAATCATTTTACTTTTTACCAAACGGTTTGCATTCATCGGGAAGTGTTTACCTCCTTCACGCATCCATTAAACTCAAAACCAACAAAACCAGCCAATCAACCAAAGTCAGCCAACATACATCATCGTTACCCACCAGTAAATCAATTCAGTTAAGTCATTGTTTTAGTGACTTTACTAATTTAGTCAACGTGTGAATGAGACAACTACAATTCGAAAACGTTGACTTGAATTAAAACAGAAAATTAAGGAACTGCATATATGGCATAATGCACGTGTTCGAATCTTTACAAGGATCCATTTAAAAACATTTTTGCAATCGTTTCAATGATGTCTGTCTCTGGAATGCTAACTAGGTTTGGAGACGGCGTGGTCAGTCAGTTTCATGTTAAAACGGGTCTTGTTCAGCCGTTGTGGGCGCGATGCTGTTTTTATTTTTCAAGCGGGAGATTTGAAGACGCCTTGATGACGGCACACGAGCAGCATGTTTTCAGAGCAATAAAACGCCATGTGTAGTTCATGACGGACTCAGGCCGGGCCCAGGCAACCACCCAGGAGAACACGGGTCTACAGCTTGACGTCATGCGCGGCGTTTCCATGAACCCGTAGCATTTACCTCCTTCGTCCAAACACGTCGTCTGCCAGAACCATTGCCGAGTCCCCAAGATGACTTCCTCGTTTTCCAAAGCAGTCGCTCGTGTGATTTGTACCCAGTCGCTCTGTGCTTCGCAAGCCCGCACAGTCTCCTCAGAGCTAACCATCGATCTCTGTGCAGAAAAAAATATAAATTATTCACTGGATTTACTCAGTGAGGGTTGGGAATAACGCCCACCAATACCAGTGTTATTGGCAGATAAATACTTTGAACAGTTAGCTTCCCACCGGATCAAGCAAACTTGCAAGAGAGAGGTTTCAACTGACAGAAAAATACAGCCCATAAAGAGGTTTCCTTTTTATTAGTTATTGTGGGAGTTCATCATCAGTCGTGCACATTAACTCATCAGCGTTAACCACGGAAATACATGTACATTGAATGCCCAACGCCGTTGCGACGGCGAGACATGCTTGTGAACACTCAATTCGTATAAAGAACAGAGAAGAAAGATCTGTAGGGCCTATGTGTGATTTCGATGAGAACATACCTATCTAATAAGTCCTTGCATTTACTGCTCATGTGGGAAATTATAATACGTGATTTTCTCAACTTCTTCAGTGCCATGTGAAATGTTTCAGTTGCATGTGCTTTTCAAATTGGTATTATTATTACATTCGTTTTACTAATGGCATTGGAGTAAGAGGCCTTTGGGTTATATTTTTAAAGTAAACTTTTCTTTCTTTCTGGCATGTACCATTAGTTTGTCCTATTATCCTGCTGTTTGTATTCATGTTTTTCTGTATTGTGATGAGTATTTTTGTAATTCCGAAAAAATAATAATAATATTAACAATGAATCACTACATTGATTTGTCAGACCACCGCAGTGGGGCTTAAAGCGTGTTCATGACTGTCGACTGTAAGGAGCAGTGTAAGCCCCATTATACAGTCTGTTCAGTGTTATCTGATAAAACAAACGCCTACTGGTCAAAGAACACGGGCGACAGTGACGCTTGAACATCTTGCAATCTCTGCACATTTTTAACATAGTTGCTTTTCGTTGTAAAAAACATTACCTTGTCAACATTAACCCGTAAAGTGGTGTTGCGTCGGTCAGTTTACCTTATAAAAAGGGTAGGAGAGTGACCGTCTGTTCCTAGGGGTCAGCGGTATCTCAACGGCCGGTGAGTGGGTGGGTTTGCTTTCTCCAAATGCGATCCGTTGTGCATCCGCACCTTCCATGGACGGCATACGGAGAAAGTCCTCCCGGGTCGGGAAATCGTTGGTGACAGGGCTCAGTTGTGGTGGTATCCGCAAGGTGTCAATAAATTGCTGAACTGAGTCGTTTGGCTGTGGATGTGTGTAGACACATAGGAAATGGTTGAAGATGTTAACAAATATTTGAAGTCGTCACTACAAGAACTATTGAGTGTATGCTAACTTATGGTATATGCAATAACTTACCAGTCATACGTGTTTCAGTATTTACACAGGGCGGTATTGATGTGGCAACCAAAATTTTTCGCAGTAAGCTAGTTTTAGCATGTACGGTTGCCCAATTAATACGATATCACAGCAAAAGCTTGCATGCAAGCTGTAAAATCATGTTAAAAACTGTATCTTTCAAAGGAACAACCAAACGCATGTCAAACTGTGTCAGTCTTTTAAGAAGAGTAGAAACGTGTACACAATTTCGCTTTCAAGTAAACTTTTTGCAATATATAAACCCTCTATAAAGGCCCGTTCGGTTCACGGAATTGTTGTCGATCGTGACATAGATTTCTAGTGAATTTATAAATGAAGTACAATGTCATGCGAGTGTCATCAAGAAGCTGATCTTAAGGTCCAACATTTTGATAAGTTACCCTCTGCATTCAAATGTCGAGAAACTTTCAGAAATTCTTACCAGTCTAGAGTGTTCTTCATTTTCATCGTAATACTTTGAAGGCGTATATCTTGCCCCAGCAAATGCTGTTGGAATGAAAAGACGGCAGTTCTGGCTGTAAACATCAGAATCATTAGGTAAGAAAACACCTTTCAAGAATTCCTCTCACGAAACTGATATCTTGTGCACCGGCAGGAATCTGCATTTGTATAAATGTCATAAAACGCAAACGCGGCTCTCGACGCCAACAAGAGCCAGTTGATAATGCATTGGCAATAATTAAAGTACTCGTGGCCATTTCACTCGGGAAACAATAATATCCCTTTCCTTCCTTTTTCTTGACCGAGCTTGGATAACAAATGTGGCAGCGAATGCTAAATTGGTTTCCAACTCAAACACTTAAAGCTGACGGACCATCGTTGCGGACTTCACCCGCCCCAAACTGCTCACGTAGGCCGGATGGAGTGCGGATGCATAAGACAAGGACAGCGATGAAGAGTTCTTGGGTAGAATCGGTGAGTAGCCGTTTACCATAACACCTGACAAGAATATTGACTCTGATGAATCGCACTGCTAAGATTTGCATACAGCCGTGTCTATATCTGTGCATTCACCTGCTCCCAAGCCAAGCATCGGACATTTTTACCCAAAGTGGCATCGTTTTCGGCATTTGTTGGTTCTAATTAAGTTAATTGTTGTAACATGCACTTGCAAGTCCGTTCAATTTTTTTCCCCATCCTGGGCATCCTGAAAATCGCCTTTCTACCTCAGAAAACAACATAACGGTGCTGATCCATCAGCTCATCTGCGAAGGAAACGAACTATAAGAAGTATTCTCACTAGTTGAAGGCTCCAACTGTTTTGTATCCTTTAAGCAGGCGGCAGAAAACAATTTTCCCCAACTCACGGACTGGGTCAAGCGGACTCCATATTCAACCCGTCAGATCTCGGCTCGCGCAGTGGCTGATTGTGTTAAACATTAGTGTGCAATTTGACGCATCCGTGCTTAGTATATAACCTCGAGGAATTAGCCAAAATCGATCCAAATACCACAGGATAGAAACAAGGAAACAAACTATGCTTTCTTCATAAATTTAAAGGATAAGCTTTGAAAACTTAGAAATTGAAAATAGTCTGAGATAAAACCACTTCTGTCGGAGAATACATCTAAAGGGGAAAAACAAGCGTTAAGTATATTAATGAAATGATTTTCGGAGAGTGCTCATTGTAATTCACGTTCACCCAGCACTGCCTGTGTATCAGTTTAGTTAATGCATGAGATTGTATGGGGCGGCACATGACGGGTAGCCATAATTCCGTCCTGTCCTGCTACTAAGGCTTCAAATTTTGATCAAAAGAGGCAGCGGTGGAGAACCGTAGCGAAAGTTTGATTCTAGTGCCTGTCGTAGTCTCACAGGAGACGCCGCACAGCGTGTTGCCAGTGCATCATAAACCGTTGAAAATATTTCTTGTTGGGGTTTCCTGAAGATGTACCAACATATATGTTTGCAATGGACGTTAGTAGGCCTAATGACACACATAATAACGCCAAAAGTAGAAGAGTTTTTAAAAGTGATTTTGAGTTTTTTTTTTATGCAACATCGTCTTTAGAAGTCAGTATCGATCCTTGACATATCATAAAGTGATTTTTATCGACACCATTAAACCGTATGACACTATTCGACTGTCAACTGGACTTTTGGTTAGGCAATAAATCACTGTGACAGAAATAAAATCACAGTGAACTACATTTTGAAGTTCGTGAATCTGGCTTTATAGACTCTTCTAAACTATTGACCATCAGGATGCCCTTTAATTCAACGCTGGCTTCATAACCGTTTCACATTCTTGTGAAAGCCCCGGCTGCAAAAGTAAATTGATTTGTTTTTCTGGAAGAGTGCAATTTTCACTGCTCGAAAAAAGGCTACTGCATATTTGATTACATAATATCATTGACCAGTAAAACAACCTAGCAGGCGTCTCGTTTTCATCACAAAAACTCACTTACGTTCCAGTGTATGACCCTGAAAAATAAGCAAAACTAAGTTAAGGAAAGAAACCTACGTGAATTATGCACATTAAAAGCTTTCCTTAACTTGTAAACATTACTATGACATTATTTTTGAATCACGTTCAATTCGTGAACGTGATAGAGAACACGACATGTTCCCTCCGCTTCTGACCCGTGAGTAAGTTATTACTACATCCGGTCATTCCAGAAAAAAAGAGAAAGGTAAAGACGCAAATGACAGGTCACTCATGAGCTCATAGGATTTGGGATTATAGCCCACGATGTTTTTGGTTGGTGTTTTTGTATCAAGCAAACCCGTCAATAAACGGTGCTTGATCTGCATGAAGAATAGGTCATCGATAGATTAGCAGGGATGGTGAGATAGTATACGTCCCAAATGTAATCGTTAAACCCGCATCCTATATTAAGTCATACCTGGAATTCTGTATTTTAAAGCAACCATGTTAATGCGATGAATTCTTCACCGCCCAAATCCATTACAATTTACGTACATGCCAGCCTTTTTGTCAGGTGTTTGTTGGGCTAAATGTCTGATTACAATGCCAATTTTATGTGACCCAAGATGGAGTATTTGGAACCGTTACTTTAAAAAAGAGACCAAAGATTTTATTTCAGTGTTTGGTAGCTGTAAGTTGATCTTTTGCCAATAGGTGGAAGCCTGCTTATTTGTCTCAGTCTGGACAGCACTTAAAGTTTAGACACTTTTGTACCCCTAGTGCACGTTTAGCTGTATACAATCCACTTAGCATTTAAGCACATTCCTTAACGCATCTTTGTGTAAATATCTAAACATATACACAGGGGAACGCATTCAAAAGGTGGGTCCGTGTTTACGTTTTTTAATTAGTAATCGACGCATTAACATACAAGTTATTTACAAACTAATCTTGTGCAAGGTCCATGATTAGACACAAATTAATTCATTTCATTTGGATAATTACAAACATGGTGCCGGGAATGTAACGGGCCATTCCAGCCCAAAACTTCATTAAGTATTTTTGTCAGATACTTAAGGAGCATTGCACTTCATGTTGAAATTACGTTTCACGCTGACAGCTGAGTCGCTGTTTCCTACATACAAGAGCTTCACTGAACTGATTTCATAGTGTCAAAGATGGCAACTAAATCGTACATCACATCAACGAATTTTTTTTTAAAGCTCGAGGGCTCCCCCCGCAGGTAAACGTCGTGTCAAGTACGAGCAGTTGAACTGAAATCGTGAAGTTCAAGATATAACTTAAATATTGTAAAACATTATGGAAATAATCATGTTTTCCCTCTAGTGTGGGCAACGTGATCCGTTTTGCCCGAACAATGACTGAAATTCTATATACTCAGAGGGGATCCTCAAACCTAACTGATTGAATTTATTCGCCTGTATGCCTGTAGGAAGGATCAATAGTCGAACAATGTTATCTTTCAAACAAATTGCCATACAATAATTACCCTCAAGACAAATTTCGTGAAACCAGTGTGCTCATATGAATTGCTGAACTTCGTTTGAAACTTTCAAAACTGTATTCATAATATTAGGAAACTGTTCTTTTCATATCCATCACAATATTTGCAAAGAATACGGAAAAAAATCTGTTCTGTAATAAGGATTTGGCGACATGTATATTGTAACCCTTTAAAATAATCAGTTGTTACTCGATAGCAACAGTTATACGCATGCCTCATCAAAGAAGAGACCTCTTGTAAACGAAACGAAACATCAAAAGAAAACGTTATGCTTCAATCAAAAAAAGGATTTGTGGAATTCTCCATACATCATTCAAGGCTTCTATATAGATCATTTCAGTTGCACGATGTTCAGAGGTTATTTGTACCGTTTTCACAAAGAGACGGGAACGTCAAAAGTGACATTTTGTTTTAAACATCGAACTTGACCATTTAAACATGTTTCAACAAGCAAAACATCATTAATGTCAAAATTAAATTAATTATGTCAGGGGGAGATGTCCCGATAAATACATTTCACATTTTCACTTGGAGACGCAGACATTCTTGCTCCGAAACTTGTACAAAACGATTTCACGAAGGGACTCATCTTTCGCGCACGTATGTGTGCATGCACCTTCCCTATGGAAAACACCTTGCACCGAAAGGCAAAAGTGTAGGGTTTTTGTTTTCACGAAGGGACGCGCATCTTTCCGGTTATTTTCGGCTATTTTACTACTGTGTTCATTCTAGTTACTTGGTTCATGTGAAAGAATCAAAGAAACATTTATTTCCTTACAAAATAAAAAGTTGTGCGAAGTAGCAGTTTTTGCAGTTTCAAAATAGACGCTTCCTTCGCGATTATTTCGAAAATCTGTTTTTTTTTTCAAATCGGTTTGTTCATATGTATCGGAATCGAATTTAAAAAGAATTTGCTTTAAAGGAACCAAGACCTGTCAGGTTTCCGAAACAACTACTTGAAAAGCTGGAGGGGATTTTGGCACGCATTCTAAAGCTAAAGGTTGCTCAAATGCCTACTAAAACAAATCAGGGCCTGTGCCTTTCCGGCACGGAAGCCTGCAGGAAAAGAGATTATGCAAAGAACATGGTTAGTCATCACTGCGTTGGGCGTTGTATGGCCAGCATTTTGTCACCCATGCCACGGTTCTACCAAATCTGTTCTCAGCCTCATTTAAAAAAAAATAAAACATAATCGAGAATAGGAACATGACTGGTGAGAGTAGGGAGCAAGCTCTCCTTACATTTATGACGACCAGGCATGCCTTACAATCAAGTAAATTACTCTTACTGCTTGTCAAAGAAAAGTAATGCTTATTTGGGAGTTTTTTCCAGTACAAAAGAGTATGGTTTAATTTACAGAAAACATTGTGAATGTATCAGGCTTCACCGTCAGGTTTAATTTCTCGTTTCGGTTCCCTTACAGGCATATTTAAGGAGATGGGATGATAACAACTGTCAATATTCATAAAAGAACGGCTTCAAAAATACCTCTCAATTCGCACTGTTCACCGTGATTCATTTTATTTCCCTGCATGAACACTTCAAACCATAATTACTCATGAGAAGAAGTATGGAAATCCTAACGCGCAGCAG